ATATTTAAGTAAAAAGAACTATTATTTTCTAAATAATTTAAATTTATATTTAAATTTGTTAAATTTTATTATTTATGTGTATTATTTTTGCTGGACACTAACATTCAGAATTTTCTTATGAAATCTAGAAGTATATAATATTTCTTCAGTATTTTTGAGACAACTTCCTGATTTTCCCCCGATTTTTCTGACCTGTGGCAACCGATATTAATAATTATTGATAAAATTCAAAGCATTTTTTTTGTTTAATACCCACGTCTCGTTTTCACTTACAATGTAATCATGTATTGATGAAAAAAACTACTTTAACTAATGTTTAAATGAAATTTTGTAAAAATTTTGTTAGAAAATTATAAAGGAAATGTACACACAGGTGCAAAATATGCAGCTCATTATATTACAAAATTATGACGGTAAAATTGCTCTACGAATAAATTTGAAATAACGCACCAATCATGAACTATACAATCTACCTAATTACTTTATTGCTGATATTCATTACGCAATCCTATCACAATTTTTATAAGGAGAGAACTCCCCCCCCCATATCTGACGAGAAAAGAAACAAAACAAAATTAAATTAAAAAAAAACTTTTTTATAATGCTTTTTCTATTACGATTCTAGATTAAAACTATCAGTTTATGCAATTTGAAACGCTATCATACTTGTTTCCTGAATATAACTGCTATATCCTGTTATTCTACAATATAACAGTACCCACATACAATATGACGCTTGAATAAAAACTTCTTACTTTACATGAATTTATATTTTCAAATTAAATTTATAACGTTACTTTATAATGTCAAAAAAGAATTCTAACCCAAATGTGTAAAAAGAAACACTGTTCTTGTTTTTGTTATTATACTTTAAAAAAAAGAATATGACTCAGATAGATCATCAATTAAATTTAAATGAGTAGATAAAATGTTGTTCATTATTCTTTAAAAAAACCAAATTAAATGTAATTAAGGAAAAACGAATGCAAACTTCGCATTTTCTTTTACTTTTTTGTAAGACGCGCGGTGATATTATTGTTTTTCGAAAAAAGAAAAAATGTTCACTTGACGCTGACAATAATGAGAAAAAAAATCAATTATTAACAAAATTTCAAATTAAATATTAACAGACGTATCTGTTTGAAATTGAAAATGTTTCGGACATTGTAACTATTTAATTACATATCGCGAACCACTAAACAATAATTATTTCAACATAATTCTACTTGTCTTCAAGTTGCAGCCTATTTCTAATAACCATCCATTAATTAATCATTTTTTTTTGTAATAAATAAATTTTTTCTATGAAATATTTTCACGAATCTAACGACCTAGAAAGATTTCAATATTTTCACATATTAAAATATAAAATTGATTTAAAATACAAAATTATGATTTTAAAATAAAAATATAGTCAATAAAATAAAATAAGAGAAAATTACTCACAGGTATTGTTATAAAGTTAGGCAAAAGTTGTTGAGTGCACGGTTGAAGATTACATACTTCCTGGTGATGCCAAGTGATAGAAAAGCGTGAAATGAGGTCATCCCCTTCTCTCTTATACTGCGATTCACTTTAGATTTTGTTTTTCGCGTAGAATTTTATGTTAATTTACGTTCTAAAAATACAGTTAGAAATTAAAGGAAAAAAATCATCTTGTAATGGGAAAATAAGGTTGTATTATAATTATAGATAATTTTCAAATTAAATTAGAAAAATTTTTGCTGTCATTACCGGTGCATGTTGAACAAGAGACAAATAAGACTGAATAAAACTACAATGTAAATTGCTGGAGCCAAATGTCAATCAGCGCATGTTTTATTCCCATTCCAGAATTTATTTCTTCCTACACTTTGCCAAACGCTGCGTCGTACTGCATCCACCCACTAGAATCTATATGTATAACAATTATATTACACTCATTGCAATTTTGCCATTTTTATTTCTTGCACATGCGCGCAAAAGAGCTTTAAAAAAGCCCGAAAGCTTTTTTTGTTTACTAACGTCTTTGGAAATTACTTTTATTTTAGTCTTTTCAATAGTCTTTCCAATGTTAAAGTTAAAAAATGTTTCAATCTTTCCGTATCGCTTGAATTCCTTAAATTTGATAACAATCAAGATTTAAAATTTTTAGGTTAGAATAAAAATAACAAAAATCTAAAACTCTAAAATAATGAAAATATATAAATATAATAGCAAAAATATGATCCAAAGGTAAAATCATATAATTTTGTACTGATAAACACTACAATAATGTACTAATAAGGGTATAAATATCATAATATTCACTAATTTCAATTTGTGTAAATCGTGTACCTAAATTTATTTAGAGACAAAAGGTGCACGTGGATTTTAAACCGGTTTATTAGTCAAGTAAACAATGTTCACTATAATATACATTACCATAAAAAACTTGATTCTATGGTTGCAATTAAAACTTATAATCTGCGAATTGTGATTGTCCATTTTTTCTAATTTAAAGTTTTTGATCATTGTTCGAGAATAAATTTGGTTTGTTTTGGTTTCAGATAACTACATAACATATTAGAATAATTACATAAACATTTCGCCGAGACTGCAGGTCCATCTACCGGAGAAACTCAAAAGTTTCAGTACGTCATCGATCAGCTGATTGTGACACGTGTCTAATAGGTTATTCGGCAAAAAGATAGGTATTTATTTGTTGTTTTATATTTATTACTTATACAGCCATATATAAAAAAGTTGTTTCAATTGCCCTCGATAATTTTATCTCCATTATTATTTTTGCAATCATAACCAAAGTCGTTGATTTTTACTATTTACAATTTTTACCATTTTTCCTTTATAATGTTATCAAAATTTACTTTTATTTTACTTCATAGTTCGTTCATGGAATGACTGTCATTTTTCCACTGAAAGTAAAATTCATTTGTTTATTACAATTTTATTATAATGATTATAATTCTTTGCTGTATAATGTTGAGGAGTATTTATAAATTATATTATTCTTATAATTGTACTGTTATTCGATAGAAAAATTATATTGTAATTGTGCAGTAAATTTAGATCTACCTCGAGATATACTGTATTCTTACTGATGAATTTAAAATGAAAACAATTTTTAATGATTTCAGAATAATGGAACATAATTTTCCTGAATTGAAAAATGACAGAATTCTTCGAGCAGCCAGAGGTGAAGAAGTTGACAAGATTCCAGTTTGGATAATGAGACAGGCTGGCAGATATTTACCCGAATTTAGAGAATTGAGATCAAAAAATGATTTTTTTACAATTTGTCAAACACCGAATCTTGCCTGTGAAATCACACTTCAGCCCATAAGAAGATTTGATTTAGACGCTAGTATTATATTTTCTGATATTTTGGTCGTTCCCCAAGTAATGGGAATGATTGTCGAAATGAAACCCGGTGTTGTAAGTATATTTAAAAAAATAATATTCTACAGTTTCCACAATTACAAATTAAAATACAAATCTTTAATTTCTTTTTTTCTCTTTTTCTTGTTACTTTATTTTTATTCTCCTACACTTTTCAACTGTTTAATTATAAATCTCTTTCAGGGTCCCGTATTGCCAAATCCACTTTTAGATCCTTCACATCTATCCAGGTTGATTTTACCAAATGTTGAAACTGACCTTAAATACGTCGGTGATGCAATAACACTAACTCGTCATAAACTTGAGGGAAAAGTTCCTCTTATCGGATTTTCTGGAGCTCCAGTAAGTTTTTATATTTTAGAAAAATGGAAAGAAATTTCGAAATATATTTTTAATGGGAGATTTTTAATTTAATTTTTAATTACAGTGGACATTGATGTGCTATATGATAGAAGGAGGTGGAAGTTCCATGATGTCGAAAGCTCGTCCTTGGCTCTACAAATACAGAGAAGATTCTCACAAGTTACTGCAAATGATCACAAATGTTATTATTGACTATCTTGTGTTACAAGTTAAAGCAGGAGCTCAAGTAAGATAAATTAAATAACAATTACATCTAAAATTTAACATTTCACCGAGTGATAAATTCTACTTCTAATTAATTTAATTAAAGTTTAATTAGTTTTAAAATTAAATGTTAATTTAAATTCAACTTTCTTATTTTTAAATATTATCAAATTTCTATTATAGTTACTTCAAGTATTCGAGAGCAATGGAAATTTTCTCAATCTAGAACTGTTTAAGGAATTTTCCTTTAAATATTTAAAACAAATCAGCGAAAAAGTGAAAGAGAAACTTAATGCTGAAAATATTCCAAATGTTCCAATGGTGTGTAGAAATTTTCTTATTATCTAATTTTAAGATTTATTTTTCAACTTTCTTTTGATATAACATTGCTTGCAATTTTTAAATGTCAATATTTAGATTGTATTTCCAAAAGGAGCCACTTTAGACTCACTGGAATTATTGGCGAAGGATCAATGTTATGATGTAATTGGTCTTGACTGGACTGTAAATATTCAGGAAGCCAGAGAACGATTGGGAAACAATGTTACTTTACAAGGAAATATGGATCCTTGTGCGATGTTTGACACTAAGGTAAATATTACACAATTTTTTCTGTTTCTCTAAAAATAAAAACTGCATAATTAATCAATCGAAAAATATCCTTGTTTCAGGAAAACGTTTTAAATCGTGCGACCGAAATCGGTAAAAACTTTGGTAAACATCGCTACATTGCCAATTTAGGTCATGGTATTTTACCAGAGACTCCAATAACGTCTGTAGAATCATTTATAGCAGGTGTTCATATCAATTAATTGTCATTTTTTTTAAAACCTTGTTACTAATTTTTTGTTTCGTCTCTTTAGTAAGAAACCACAAACATATATTTAATACATTTTATAAAAGATTATTACAAAGTTTAATTATTCAACTTTCTTTTTATTGATATATATATATATATATATATAGTTTTCAAAATATTTTTCTAATTTGCTTTCTCATAGAGGAAAATTTTTTTTTAATGGACTAAAGGGAACTAATTCGAAAAATTCATAAGATAAGTGCAAATGACCTCAGGCATTTATTCAAAAATTCGTTTCTGATATAACAATTATTAGCCTTGGCTGTGTCAAACTATATATCTTTTTCAAATGATAATTTAAATAATTTTTTTCATCGCGTGATTAAAATATGACGCCGTTTGCGTTTTATTTGTGAAAGATTTGGAAGTTTCATTTTCTTTTTTCTTGTCTTTATAATATATTCTTTATACATCAGTTTAGCAAGTGGCTTATCACAATAAAATTTTTTTTCATTAAATTAAAGCTTAATTATATGTAATAGAACATAATTAGATAACATCAGTGGAACTGCCTTTAGAATTTAGGCAAATCTAAACGCTCACACATTTTTTTCCTTTCACACCTTATTTATAATTCTAAATATAATTTGCATTTATTTCACGTATAAAGCTAATCGCTTTTCACTGCTGGCCCTATGCTACATTATTTACATATACGAAGTATAGAGCGAATTTTTAACACAACGTTCATTCATATTTTTTTTTAACAAGGACTGAAAAGTTCTTTTTTCACCAAGGGGAAGCCACAGTTGAACTCGAAATTTTCCGAAAAAAATACTTTTAACACAAAAAGATTGCGTTTCAAAAATAATTCTTACATCTTCCTATAAAAGTCCATTCTCTCAAAACATTTACAAATAAATCAGAATACAGATTGCTGTGCATTGTAAAATATACTACTCATTTATTTTGAAACTTTGGAAAATAATATCGTACATGATTCAGGAACTGGAAATTGTTTCTTTTTACAACACTTTTACTCAATTTTTACAAGTTTCGTCATTAAATACTAGTTTGACAAATTACTTGAAGGAAATAAATATAAACTTTTAGTTAAACTTCCAGTAGAGACGAATTTGGAAAAAGGGAATGGATTTTGAAATGGAAAAGTGATAAACACAGTAAGAAAAGAATGAAAAGTTGGGCATAGCACAACATAAGAAATATTTTCGTCAACATTCCCTTATTCATAAAAATGCCCATACGACTTTTAAGCGCGACAGTTAGGGCCTTTGCCGAGCGAAAATTTACACTCTTAATAACTTAAATTAACTTACTATACAATAGTACATGTGTAAGGTACATAGGAAATGTTTAGTGACGTCTTCGTGGTCCCTCTCAAGCTCATCTACGTCACATCACTTTTTGTCAAATACTCCAATTTTTGACACTTAACTTTTGGCACTCGTTCTTGACTCTTCTTCACATTCACCTTCAATTTTATTTTCAATTATTTTTTCCTTCTCTATATTCTCCTCATGCTCCACTTCTTCTTCTCCAGTTGAAATATTCGTCTCAATAATATTTTGATCGAGATTATCATCGTTAACATCAAATGTTTCTTCGCTCATTCTCTGATTTTCTTCTTCGTCATTGAAAAATGTATTTTGATCATCTGGAACTTGTACATATTCAGATTCGCCGTCAAAATCATCTTGATAAACGTATTGAGTTACTACTTCACGAATTAAAATAGGATTACCATCGTCATCCTTGCCAACAGTTAAAATGGTTTTATTTAAATTCTGCATGGAATGATCTTCATTGTTAATATCCTCATCTATATTAGTCTCGTCTTCATAATTTTCCTCTCCTATAATTTCTTCCTCGATGAGAGAATTATTATCGCCTAATTCTCCTTCTATTTCGACGTTATTTTCCATTTGGAGTTCATCTGCGTCTTCCAGTATTACTCCCTCGGCTTCGTCAAAATTCTCATCAATTATTTCTGATTGCTCCATTGCGTCTGCTGAACAATTTTCGTTCACTATTTGTTCCTTTTCGCTTTCAACTTCGTACATCTCTTCTTCTACTTCTTCCTCTTCGGCTTCTTCTTCAGCCTCTTCTTCTGCTTCTTCCTCTCCAACTTCCTCTTCTGCTTCTTCCTCTCCAACATCGTCTTCAGGTTCTTCTTCTTCTTCTTCTTCTGCTTCTTCTTCTGCTTCTTCCTCTTCTTCTCCTGCTTCGTCATCGAGATTTTCGTTATTACTTTCTTCCTCTGATTCGACAGAATCCTGCGTTCCTTTCTCTTCAAGTACTTCTTGATTTATTTCATTCTGTAAACATATTGAAATGGAATTGTAAATTTTTATTTCAGAATCAAAATCGAAAAAAAGGAATTGTAACCTTTTTATTTTTAGAACTAGCAAATGTTACGCGCGGAGCACGGTATTCCATTTATTATTATTTTGTAAACTAAGAAATTTTATATTTTCAAGAATAAACAGCAATTTTTGAATGTTTACAGATTTAAAATTTAAAGAATTCACTTACTAAGTACATAATATTAAATATTCTTGTTTATTCAAAGATTTTAATAAAATTTCTCGTAAGAATACAATTATTTTTAAAAATATTAATTAAATTCGATTATTTTCAAGAATTTTAATGTAAATTCAATTATTATGAACAATTTTGATGAAATTCTTTAAAAAAATCATTATTTTCAAAATATTTTAAATAAAATTCCTTCATAAAATTCAATTATTTTCAAAATTTCCATTAAAAATTATTATTTAAAAAAGATTCATTATTTTCAAGAATATTGAAATCAATTCTTCAAAATAATTCAATTATTAATTAAAGAATTAAAATAAAGATCTTGCCAAGAATTAAATTATTTTCAAAACAATTTTAATTACATTTTCTCGAAAGAATTCAATTATTGAAAAAAATGTTGATAAAATTCTTGAAATGAATTCAATTATTTTCAAATTTTTTTATAAATACTTTACAAAAATTCAATGATTTACAGTACTTTGTCAATTTAATTATTTTTTAAAATAATTGAATTCTTGAATAGAATTTTATTAAAACTGTTTTAAATAATTGAATCCCTGCAAAAAAATGTATTATTTCTACAAATAATTGAATTTTTGCAAAATTTTAAAAAATAAGTGCATTTTTGAGAAGAATTTTATTAAAATTGTATTTAAAATAATTGTATTCCTGCGAAAAATTGACTATTTATAGATAAATTCTTTCAAAGAATTTTAAAAGAATTTTTTAAAATAATTTAACTTTCTTCTGGAATTCAATTTAAAATTGAAAATTTAATTATTCATGAAAATAATTGAATTCTTGAATTGAATTTTATCAAAAGTTTTTTAAATAATTGAAATCTTGTGAAAAATTCAATTATTTTTTAAAATAATTAAATTCTTCATAAAATTCAATTACTTTCAAAATTTCCATTAAAAATTATTATTTAAAAAAGCTTCATTATTTTCAAGAATATTGAAATCAGTTCTTCAAAATAATTCAATTATTAATTAAAGAATTAAAATAAAGATCTTGCCAAGAATTAAATTATTTTCAAAACAATTTGAATTACATTTTCTCGAAAGAATTCAATTATTGGAAAAAATGTTGATAAGTTTCTTGAAATGAATTCAATTATTTTCAAATTTTTTTATAAATACTTTACAAGAATGCAATGATTTACAATGCATTATTTAAACAGAAAAATTATTTTAAAAGTTTGTAAACAAAAAAGGAAACAGCAACTAACTTCAAACTGCGAACAGATTACTGGAATAAAAGGATTATTAATATAGAAAGAATTAAAATTTAAAAAGTTGAGAAATTATGATCTTACCTTAAAATCCATTTCTTCCTCTTCTACTTCTTCCTCCACCTCTTCTCCTTCATTATCATCATCATCTTCTTCGTCTGTATTTGGGGCCGAATTCTCCTCCTTAAGTTGCGCAGCTTCTTCGTAGATGCACATTTTATTTTCATCATCATCGCTTTCGGATTCCGTTTGATCTGCCTCGGTCAAATTCATATCAGTTGTCGGATTTTTCAAATCGTTCATCTTCATTTCCAAATTCACCATAGGACTTAATTTATTCATTTCGTTAATCTGACTAGTCATATCCTCCTCTTGCGAAGGCAACAAAGGCATCATGGGACTCAAAACTGGTGGTCCCTCGTCATCAGAATATTCCATACTATCCAATGTTTTCTCTGGTTTCATTTCTAAATTTTCAAAAACAGCCGAGTCCTTTGTGTCCGACTCCGATAACGTCAATTCTTTTTTGACTCTTCTAATATCTTTTTGTTCTTTTATTGTTTCTTTTTCCTCTAACTTTACACTTGTTTCATTTTCACAGTCTTCTGAATTATCGGAATCACCATCCTCACTATCACTTGTGCAACTCAATTCTCCAAGTCTGCTTGTTGTTCTCGATTCAGGTGCCGTTCCATTATCTTCATTTTCATTATCGTCATTTTCATCCTCTTCATCGTCTTCATCACTCGAACTGGATGAACTATCCGTTTCTGAATCATCCGAATCGTCAGAACTGCTTTCTTCATTATCAGAAGCCTTCTCCTCACCTTCGGAACCAAATTCTGCCTCTTTTTCTTCTTTTTCGACTTTCTCATCTTTATTTGCCGCGTCATGCCGAACACCTAGACCCGATTGTCTACCTTCACAATTTCCAGTGTGCTCCTTCAATTTCTCGTCAGTTTCGAAACTACGTTTACACTTGTTGCACATTGGATTATTCTTGCAATTGATATGAATGCTCATGTGCAGTAATAATTTGCTCCTTGCGTTGTGATATCTTCCGCAAATTTTACAAGTGAAATTATTACCTTCGCAGGATAGGAGAGCTTGATGGGCGGCTTTTAAATGATCAGCCAAATCTTCATACGTCTTACACAACTTTAGACAAACTCCACAGGTGACTGCAGCTTCCGTTCGATGAAAACGAATCAAATGTTGCCACAAGTGTTTCTTCGCAGGCCATTGTTTTCCACAAACCTCGCAAGTACACTCAGTATTCGTCGATTCATCGTAAACCTTTCTTGAATCTTTTCTCGAACATTTATTGCTACTCGAGGAAGACTTTAGTGATAAATTCTGAACTGGTCTCTGGCCCGACAGTTGCATATTTATATCTTCAAAAAGATTGAAATCTGGAGTATTTAAATTATTCTCATCAAGTTCATTATTTTCATCCTCTCTCTTGATTTGATTATTATTCTTCAAATGCGCCTCGAGAATTGACGTCGAAAAACTGGGAACTTCCGGTAGACAGCGGCAAACGAAAAGATGTTCATGATATAATTCTTTTGAATCAAATTGCGAATTGCAAGACTTACATACATAGCTTTCTTGATCGTTCATTTTCTGTTCAATCGTAAGATTACGACAAACGACAATATGATCGTAAAATTGTTCCTTTGTTTCAAATTGAACTTTACAGGGTCTACATTCATAATTTTCACGATCCTTCATCTTCTTACCGCTTGGATCCAATTTCATCTTCTTTGCCAAATGCATCTCGTCCAAATCATTCGGCTCCCTTTGATAATAACCTCGAGCATCATAATCGTAATCCGATTCAGATATTCTTCTCTTATAATCCATTGAATAATCTTCAGCAGGTTCTTCGTAGAACTCAAGTTCCTCTGGTTCTTCTTTCATGACAATTTCCAACGAATCGTAGTGACGTTTGCGTCCAATTTCCAAGCGATACTCGTAAGTGGCTAATTGATCCTTAGGAACATTATGAATGTGCTCATAATGATTCTTCATATCTTCTTCAGTTATGAACACAGCCAAACATTGTTTACAAGTCTTGAAAACTTTTCCATGACATTTCTTTGTATGATCGAAAGCCTTCCACTTTGACGCATATTGTTTACCGCAAACCTGACAAGTATTTGGTTTTAATAGAATTTCCTTATGAGAGTCCTCGACGTGTTTCTTCAAATCCTTTGGATCTTTCATCGGAATTAAACAAACTCCACAAGAGACGCCAATTTCATTTCGATGCAATGACAACACGTGCATTTTTAATTTCAGCTTATTTTCCACCGTGTCGCCGCAGAAATCGCAAACATTCGGTGAACTGTGATATTTATGATCTTTTTTATGAGATTCAAGATCCTCTTTCGTTCGGAAAAGTTTCTTACAATTACTATGATCGCATGTAAGATCCGGATGATCCATGTGATGAACTCGATTGTGAGTCATAATTGCCAATTTCGAAGTGATTGTTTCATTACACAAATGACAAGTGTAACTACTGTGATGATTCTCAATGTGCTTTTGAAGACTCGCTCGATCCTTGAATATTCTCTCGCAAGCACGACATCGGGTCAAAAGTGCTCCGGGATCTTTCCTATAATTCTGACAACCTTTCATGTGGCGTCGCAATAAATACCTTTTATGGAAACCTTTATTACATTTCTCGCAGTGATGGAGAATTTCGTCCTCTGGTGCAGTGACCTTATGATTTGTTGGTTCTCTCACATTGTTCTTCACCTCAGGTTCGTATCTGTGGATTTTCGCAATATGTGCTGCTAAATGCTCCCTTGAGGCGCTGGTTTTCAGACAAAATCGACAAGTCACGTCCTCGTGACCTTTATGAACACGATTTACATGCTTCCACAAATGTGACGTTCTTCCATAACATTTGTTGCACAAATCACAAGGGAACAGACTATGCGTTATTCTTCTATGATTACAGAGATCCTCCAGTGTCACAAACTTTAAATCTCCACACATTTCACAACTGAAATCGACCTCAGTTGTTCCTCCATTATCGAAACGTCCCGTGTCATTCATATACTCGCTAGGATCCGGATTAGCATGACCATCGCCATCGAGACCATGAATCTTTCTGTGTCTCGACATTTTTGACTTATTCGAATAAGGTCTTCCACAAATGTCGCAACTGAAATCGCCATTAGTCAACGGCCAGTGATTTGCCTTAACATGGGAACTTAATTGCAGAACGTTGGGAAATACTTTGAGGCAAACTCCACAAATTAGAGGCACAGTGTCCGAATGAACGCCCATCACGTGCTTCCAGTAATCGACTCGACTGCCCCACAATTTTCCGCAAATCTCACAAGTGTTGGGCGAACTGCCTTGAATCATGTGATGTTGAACGTGTTCATTACGCAACGATTTAGTGGCAAATATTTTCGCACAATCTTCTCTTTCGCATTTTATCGAAGATTCATTTCCATGAACACTCGAAACGTGAAGCCAACGTTCCCATTTACTCGGATATGAACTTCCGCAGAGTTCACAAATGAAGAACAAATGATATTGTGCTCTGTTTCCATTTCCATTGGGTCCGGGAGCATTGCCATTTGACGCAGATTCTCCAATTGCTACGGCTGGATCGGATTTGTGAGCGTTTCGTTGATGTCTTATAAGATGATCTTCGTTGGGAAACGATTTGTAGCAAATGTAACAGTCGACCTTCTCGCCATCCTCGACCTCTCCATCAATCTGCTCGTTGCCTTCGTTGCTATTTACATTCTCATTATAGTAATTGCTGTTTAGTTGAACGAAACTTGCAGGGTCGTAGCTGGGATCAACGTTGTGAATTGACACGTGGGTAATTAACTTCTTGCGAGAATCGTGTTGTCGTCCACAAATTGTACAACTGTAGCGCCTTTGCTCGGACATGAGAAGTTTCGAACCACCATGATACATGTTGACATGATTCAGTAATTGGGCATTGTCAGAACAGATTTTTAAACAAACACCACAAGCGAAAGCGGCAAATTCTTTGTGAGTTGCGCGTATATGAAGCCACAATGAAGCTCTGTCATTGAAATCTCGGGTACAGATTTCACAAACAAAAACTGTTTCAATCTCAATCATTTTAGTTTCCGTCTGTTGCTGATCGTCATCATTCTCCAAAACTGCTTCTGGATATGTAATCGGTGATTCCTCTCTTTTAATCGTCAAATTCTTACCGTTTGAATCCTGTTTTTTATTCCAGCCTTGAGACTTCTTTAAACATCTATCACTCTCGAGAATCGGATTCGGATCAACGCCATGAATCGTAACAATGTGATTACCCAAAATCGATTTCTGCGCAAAATCTTTCTCGCAAAGTAAACAAAAATAGGGTTTCTCCATTTCATGCGTGAGTTCGTGTTCTTTGAAACTCTCCAAAGAGTTGAAATTCTGAGAACAAGATTCGCAGAACCATCGTTTCTGTACATCAGTCTCACTATTCTCGGTTCCTGTTTGTTTCTTCGATTTTGAATTAATCTTGTATTTCTCGTCATAACTTCTCTTTAAGTTGTCTCCTTTGGTAAGTGCCTGTTTGAGAATTGTGAGTTGTGGATTTTTCGCAAGTTTCGCCTCGGCATTTTTATATTCCTTCGACTCGTCAGTTGACTCATTACTCGACATGTCTGACGTGTCAATGTGACTTCTCTTCAACTTTTCTATTATTAAATTATTTGGCAATTCTTTTTGCTGAACACCTGCACACATTCGACTGTGTTTATTAAGGTCCGTAGTATTCGTATACATCTTGGGACATGTTTTACATTGATATTTATTTTCCGGCTGAACGTAGGAAACTGGCAGTTCCGGCGGAAGTGGCAAACCAGCGTGTCTAGACCTAATGTGCTCTTCTAGATTTCCTCTCGTTGAATAAATGCGCGAACAGTAACTACATGTTACCGCAGGATGTCCTCTGTAAGATTAAAGGAAAATAATATACATAAATGCGTATAGTGAAGAGGAGAATTTAAAAATATTGTTGGAATTGAAGAATGTACCTGTGCGTTGTTGAAACGTGACCCCATCGATGTTTTGCAGTTGAATAAGCCTTATAACACAAGTCACATTGATAGGGCCTTTTGTAAGAAGTGTGATCGTCGGTGATAACTTTTTCACCGATTACATCACCTGCGCCAACGTGTATTCTAGCGTGAAGTGACAAATGACCTTTCGAGCTGAATGCCTTGTTACAAAGTGAACAAACATAAACTTCGTGTTGCTCAGATTTATGATGTGATGGTCTTGAATTTTGCGTTCGTGTGGAAACAACTCCACCTCTTATATTTTCTTCCACATCCTCTGTAACCATTGGTGTCATTTCCAAAAAATCACTGGGATTCATTTCCATATCCATTTCGTATTCCTCTGATTTTCTGTCTTCTGCATCATCCATTCCTATAGGAATTCAATAAAAGATTATCATTTACAAATATATAATAAATATCAATATATTTTACAAAAAAAAATAAATATTGAATTGCAACGAAAATTTAATTTTGTTTTTCCCTGATTTCCAGATAAAATTTTAACTTTTTCTACAGGAATTAAAATTTTTAAAAATTTCAAATTTCAAACTTCTTGAAATCCAATAAATTACAAGAATTTACACTATAACTTCGCAAAAATTATTTTACTAATTTCAATTCAATAATTTTCAAGAAGAAAAAAACATTTTTGAAAATTTTATTGAGAAAACTCTTTTTTGAATCAATTATTTTTAAAATTTTTGAGAAAGTCCAATTTTACGAAATTTCAAACAATTTCAAAACAATTTGAATAAAATTTTTTGCTGAAAACTAACTTCTTTAAAAATTTTCATCAAAATATTTTAAAATTCAAATTTTCTAAAATTTCAATTTGAAACCCCTCTGAAATTCAATTATTTATAGAAGTTGTAAACGAAACTTTTATAAAATTCTACTCAAAATCAATTATTTTAAATTGTTTTTAAGACATTTTTTGAAAATTCAAGTACTTAAACAAAAGAAGAAAATTTCTTTTAATCCATTCGTTTACAATTCAATTTTACAAAATTTCAATTATTCGAAAATTTTCTAATTCAATATTAAAAAATACAACTGATTTCAAAAAAATTTGAATAAAACTTATAAAATTCAATTATTTTTAGAATTTTTATTAAAATTCTTCCGTAAATCAGTTATTTTTAATAATTCTTGTAAAAGTTCTTTGCAAATTCATTTGTTTCAAATTTCAATTTGAAATCTTTTGAAATTCAATTTATCAAAATTATAAACAAAATTCTTATAAAATACAATTATTCTGGAATTTTTACTAAAATTCTCCTCTAAATCAATTATTTTAAATAATTTATGACAACATTTTTTGAGAATTCAATTATTTAAACAAAAAAAGAGAGCTTCTAATTTTTTTTTAATTCTTCTGATTTCTTCTATTTAATTATTTGTTTACAATTCCATTTTACGAAATTTTAATTATTCAAAAATTTTTCTTTTAAATATATTTTTAAAAAATTTAACTGATTTAAAAAAATATTTGAATAAAATTATTTTTAAAAACTAACTTCTTCAGAAATTTTTTATTACAATTAGGTATTGAAAAGTTAAATTTTCTAAAATTTTAAATTGAAACCTTTTAAAAATTCAATTATTTATAAACGCAACTCATCTAAAACTCAATTAATTTTAGTTTAGTTTTATGTAAAATTATTCGCTTAATAATATAAAGGTAATAACTTTATGATAATTCTTGAAGAATTAAATTATTTAAAATAAATTAGATTTCATATTCTATGAAGTTCAATTATTGTTACAAATAAAGAAAACTTAACCTTTTTGTATTAAAATTTGCGTTGATTTAAAAGTTTATAACGTCGGTAAAGTTAATAACGTTTACGATTAACGATTGAATGGAAAAAAAATGTTATGCCGGAAACAAGAAAATTTTTCTTTTTCTAAATTGTTGATTACAAACGTTGTGATCGTTGTAAACTTCAATAACGTAATTTATAAGGCAAACAAAAAGGAATTCAAGAAGAATTAAATCTTTTTAATATTTTCAAAAGTTACTCCGGAATTTTCTTATGAATTCAGAAAGTTTAATATTTTTCCAGTACTTTTTGATAAAATTTGCTAACTTTTCCGATTCCCTTGGACCTACGGTAAGCTTGAAATACATAATTGAAAAGTACCTTCTTCGGTACCGCTCTGCTCCAAAATTTCTTCATCGTCATTATCTGCTTCGCCATCGGAATTAAGTCTCGGTGGTGTTCCTAAAGCTGCATTTGGATTAACTACGGGGGCTTCTGGAATGAGTATTGGCATATGTTGTTTTTCCTTAAGAAGTTCAGTTCGCAGTTCTGAATAATGTTCTGGTGGATTTCTTCTGTTTTCTTCATTTCTCTAAAATGATAAATTCGTTACATTATAAAAACGTTGCTATTGAAAACGAAAGAAACTAAACAAATATTTGTGAAAATCAATTTTTTTAACTTACATCTTTATCTTGAGGTAGACACCTTTCTAAAAGAGCAACTGCATTCACGCAGGCTGTCCTGAAGTCGTAAAAATTTTCTAAATTGTACATGCAACGATAGCAAAGACACTTTGGTAGGCGATCATTCTCTGCTATCTGAAATCAAAAAAAGAATATTCTTAAAAATGGTTCACAAATTTTGAACAAAAAATACTATCATAAATTACCGATTGTATTAAAATACATACAATTATTTTTGAAAAAAATTACAAAAACTCAAGATATGAGAACGGACACCATATGTTATCTTATAAGTCTTCAATACCGGTTTACAGATAAAAATGGCAAAATCAACAATATATATGTATAAATGCTGCAAGGAATGTCAATTAAAAACCGTTCATAGGGAAATTGAAAGTACCACTAGCGCCAGGATTCATTGATAACGAGCCGTAGTGGAGAAAGTAATGCCTTACTATTTACTATATGGGTCAAGGTGTGTGTACTCGTATGGAATGAGTCACTGATATATACCAGGTGATCATATTATTAAATCTTTTTCAAGTTTCACTCCAATTACTTTATGCAAATGTAAACAAGGAAACAAACTATCAAAGCGCTGAATTAAAACACACTATCTAAAATATTCCATTTTTATAAATTTGCCCCGCTTTTCTCTTTGCATAAAATGAAAAATTCATCATTATTTAAATTAACTACCATACATTGTGTATTTAAACGATTTAAACGAAAGTCAAAACAATTTTAAAAAGCGAATAAATATTTCAATTAGGTACGTATAATAATGTCAACTCAACATTTTCATTTTTTTTCTCCGCTCAATAAAAATAGGATCAGTCTTTTTAATTTCACTCGCTTCATTTGAATAAGAATCGCCATTTTTTGCCAATAAATATATAATAAATAATATTATTTAATTAATTTTAGGTTGTTACCAAAATCGTTTCTTAACTTTCTTATTGTTATTGACAGAAAATGCAGAAAATTGTACCTACAACTTTTATTCATATGAACATTCAAATTGTTTTAAGTGCGTTGAAAATTAAATTCTATGCCCTTCCTCTAAAACGAATTTAAAATTTAATTTATCCTTTTTTACTAAAATACGAAATTCTAACACTGGACCCACTGGACTGACTTTTGTTTGTCGGATTCTTTCTTAAACTATTTTTATCAAAATATTAATAATGGTAATTGTTATTATTACTAATTAATATTAATAATAATATTGAGAATAACAATAACAATAAGAATAGTTTTTAATAATAATAATTTAATAAAATCTAAATAAATAAAAAAGTCTTAATGAAATATATAATATCTTAATGAATAAATAGCTTTTTTAAAATGACAATTTATAAATTTAATAAAAAAATGGCACAAAAAGCTGTTGGGAATTTGTAGGTGGGATTGGAAATATAATTAGAAAATACGAAAAAGGTTTATTCGAAACTCGAATTGGAGAAAAAGTGAAAAGAAGTGTTTGAAATCTAGGTCTTGAAAAAGAGGAAAATATCTTAAAGAGACATTTTCAGGTCGATCGGATTCCCACGTTACGTGATGTTGAGCCTCGCCAACCCCCTGTAACTTTATCGATATTCCGAGGAGTCTGAGAGCAATACAAGGGAGAGAAACTCGTCGATTCTCAATTCTCAAGTTTTATGAAGCCGACCCCAGGTGCAATCTGTGTGTGCCTGGCCAGGTGATGCCGAGGGACGGGACGTGAAGTGAAATCAGGCGCAGGTAATTAAGGAGCAGCGGAGCTTCAGGTCAGGTAATAGTTTAGGCCACTGGCGATGTTGAATTTGAAGGCGAGGCGAGGCCTGGCCTGGCCTGGCAGAATGGAAGAACAGAGAGCATAAAACGGTGACAGAAGAGCTGAGGAGAATATACACAGTGCTGCTGGCGAAATGGTATTGGTGACTCTCGTATAGAACGCGACGAGGATGCGCCATGCAGGAAGCCGGGCAGTGTTCGGAATCAGGGGGCGATCCCCGAGCAGCGAACAGAGGAGATGGGAGGGAGGGGAAGGGAAAGACGGCCGGACATGGACTGGCAGAGACGAGGAGGAGAGACGCCGACGCTTTTTCAATGAGTGACGAAGATGCACGACAAACTGCGTCTCTCCATGTAGCAGGCGATCAACCGCACCCGGCTCACCAAGAGCCCTGGCCACGGCCCCAGAACTGTGAAGCAGTGAAGATAAAGGCCAACTCACTTCTCCTCCGAGGTCTCTTCAATTCCACCTATAACGGGTGTTCAATTCACAACAACAACAACGACACTTTGCTCCTTTATTCATTCCTCAATATCTTTTATCTTCTCACTCAAAATCCTCTCTTCTTACGTAATCAAATCAAAATAATTCAACATTTTCAATTACTTCAAAGATAAATGAAAAAAATATTACAATCAAGAAATTTCCATTATTACGAATAAACTATTTTTACATTTTTAGTGTAATCGAATATTAGATTTATTATCCAAAAAGCATAGTCTATACAATTATATTTTAATTTAAAAAAATCCCTTTTAGATTTCTTTGTTAACGAGGGAAATTTCATTAAAATATTTGTTGACTCTTTCTACGTAGACACGGTAGCCTTTGACAGTTCCCAACGGGGTAAAATCCTGTGTGAATTCTCTGAAGACTCCAAGTCTCCAACAGGATGAAACCGCTGTATAGGAAGCTATCGGATTACAGCTACCTGGTGTCGCAAAAATACCCATCAATTCTACTTTTATTTAGAAAACAAAAACAATTTTCTTCCTTTTCGAAATATTGGAACTGATCGATTTATCTTTAATTTTCTCTAATATTGTTGCTTTTTCACAATTTCCCTTTTTTCTAAATTAATTGAGTTTATTGTAACTTAATGAAAACTCAAGAATCTTCTATAATTGTTTCTCAAGCCAGACCTTGACGTATACTCTCTCTAATTGATTCTTAAGAATATTTATTCTGGAAAAATGACAAGAAACTACGATATAGCCATTGAAGCAGAAAATAATTATTGTTCTTTGTAAATACACTGGAAAGTAAATTTTGCAAAATTTAAATTAAATTTTATTTTGATACAAATGTAGATGATTCATATTAAACTCCAGACAAGGCAATTCGAAGACAGTAATGAAGAACCCTGGACTTTCGTCAAGGCAAAGAACGAGGTCTCTCTCTCTCTCTCTCTCTCATAACTTGCGAAAAGGTTTAAACATCAGATTTTAATAAAACTATCACCGTTTATGAATAATTAATTTATATTAATCATCGGAATTCGAAATAGAGGATCTCTAAGACACAATTTAAAAACAACTTTTTCGAAAGGCTATTTGATTTCTTCTTTCCGAATTTTCAAAAACTAATTAGTTTTTAATTCCATCGAGACCTCAGAGTATACTGTTCTTAAAAGAATACAAAAAAGTAAAATCGCTATTTTGTGAAAATAAAAACCAAGATACATTAAAATGTATAAAAAATATTTTCTAACAATTATCAAATGCACAAAGATATCAAAAGAGAAGTTGATAAGAATGATAAAAAATAATTATACAAAATACTTCTTTTGTTACAAAATTGTTATCTAGAGATTCCGTTTTAAATTGAATCAATTTGAATCAACTTTCCGCTTTGAAATATACAGTATACCTGCGTGAATGATCAAAATTACATAAGAAATTCTTGCAAATTTAACGGGATTTTTTCTGGCCTTATTTAGAGAAATATGAAGAAACAAAAACATATCAGAAGAAGAACAGAAACAACATTTCCATCGTTACAAAAGCAAATTTAAAATATTAATAAACTTTGTAAACTTTTTGCAAAATTTCAATAAAAACGGAGACAATTTAAAATAATTTCAACAAAACAAGGTTAAAAGTTATCAATAAATGCAACATTTAATCAAAAAATAAAAAAAAAATGAATCTTTGATATACCTAGGCATTCATAAATGTAATTGGCAAAAGTTGTAAGAAAAAAATTGTAGGTGTGTAAAATTAGATAATTTAAGAGAGTAAATTCCCCGGGTCTTTGAAATTAAAGGAAGGTAGTGAAAACAAAATGTCTTCCGCGAGAGGCTAGCCTTTGATTGCTGAGGATACACCTAACCACGTCAATGCGTACTTGAAGCAATTCGATGACAATTGGAAAGTAAGCCGTGGCAAGGGGCTGACGAGTCTGGAAACGAGAACAGGGACGTGGGCAGATACGAGGCTATACACTACGTAGGTAAATGTCTTCAACTGCGACTTGATGATGTCGAACGTGAACGAGATCGAGGCCGTTTTCGATGTGCGTAGGGGAATATTACATATTAGTCAAGAGCAAAAAGAATCTCGTAATAAAAGATAACACCCAGGCACCCAGATGTAAATTCTCGATGATATTTTTTTATTTTGCCAATTTTAAATTGACATAAAGCACAGATAGTTAGATAGCTAAGGGATTATTTTATAATAAAGAAAATGAAAGCAGGTCTTACCTTAAACGGCAGGCAGGCTTGTATTTTGTCAATTAACTGACGATTTTTGCCTTCCTGGCCGAAAAGATCCATCTTGACGGCATCGTAGGAGGCACAAAGTCTGCATAATTCCTCGTAACGTTCTCTTTGCTCCATTGTCGATATTCGGGTTCCTCGTAACAAAGAGTATGAGGAGTACTGAACCGTTCCGAGGACTTGAGCCGACTGATCCGCGCACTAGGCACCGCTCGAAACAACTGACCTCTTCCTCGCGGCAATTTCTTGCCTGCACATATACCCAGAGCTCCGATAATCGGACTGGGCTTTAGACTGATTACATTCTCGTCAAGATCCTGACTTGCAATTATTCGATTCACTACGTACACTCTTTCGCTGTTTATTCCGCACTTTAGCGAACAAAAACGCCAGCTTACTATTTCGCGCAATGATTAACCGACTGTTCTGGTAGGTACCACCATCTTGTACACAGAGTCACAAACACTTGTTTCGATCGAAGTGCAGGGGTCGTCGCCGGCGGTACCGAGGAACCATCCTCCACCATCCGCGAGGACAATGTTTTTTTTCTCGCTTGCACGTGTTGCAAGATGGCGTCCACACACGCGCGCCCTCTAGTTCCAAAGGCGGCATTTTCAAATTTCATTCTTTTATTTATTTTATTTTATTATCTGCTTCTATCGTTTCTATTGAGTATTAATTTATAGGTCTCGGAAAAAAGTCGCTTTAGTCGCATAAATTTACAACAAAAGTCACGAAAAGTCGCATAAAATTTCCGAAAAAGTCGAAAAAAGTCGCATGAAATCTTAGAAAAAAACGACAAAAAGAAAACACAAAATTGTAAAAAAATCACATTTCTCGACAACAGATACATTATAATATCAAACAAAATCCGGAATAAAATTTAAAAAATATAATAAAATTCATAGCAAAATTTTAATTAGGTATTTTTAACAATTTTTTAAAAAACTCTCTTTAAAATGTCAATTATTTTTATAAATAATAAAATTCTTCTCCGAAATTCAATTATATTCAAATTTTTTTTTTAATTTTTCGTCAAAATTTTATAAATAATAAAATTCATCATAAAAATTTAATTATTTTTAAAAGTTCTGATAAAATTCTTTACAAAATTCAATTATCTTCAAAAGTATGAAAATTCTTTAAAGAAATTCAATTATGTTTATAAATATCAAAATTCTTCTGCAAAATTCAATTACTTTAAAAAAAAAATCTGTTAAAAATTTCAATTATCTTTATGAATAATAAAATTCTTCTCTAAAATTCAATTATTTGCAAAGAATTTTAATAAAATTCTTGTCAAAATTTCAATTATTTTTATACATAATAAAATTCATTCTAGAAATTCAATTATTTTCAAAAGTAATAAAATTCTTCGCAGAAATTTAATTATTTTCAAAATTTTCTTTAAATTTCTCGTCAAAATTATCATTATCTTCATAAATAATAAAATTCATCCTGGAAATTTAATTATTTTCAAAAGTTCTGCCAAAATTCTTTGCAAAATTCAATTATCTTCAGAAGAAAGAAAATTCTTGGCAGAAATTAAATTAATTTCAAAATTTTTTTTTAAATTCTTCTCAAAATTTCAATTATGTTTATAAATATCAAAATTCTTCTGCTATAATTCAATTACTTTTAAACATTTTTAAAAAAATCTGTTCAAAATTTCAATTATCTTTGAGAGTAATAAAATTCTTCTCTGAAATTCAATTATTTGAATAATTATTCAATTATTTCCGAGTCGAAGACTCGGAGTGATCGATTTCTTCATGTTTTATAACAATTTTTTATAAGTTGTTTAATTTCAAAAAGGTTTGAATTTGAATCTTTTGAAAAATTTTAATTTCTCTGGAAAAATAATAATTAAATATTTATTTAAAAAAGAAGTTATTGATGTTTTCGAAAGATTTGAAAGAAATTTGTAAATAAATGTAACAGAACATTTTTTTGACTCAAACTTTTTCCTTTAAATTTTACTAAAAAAAATTTCGAAAAAGTCGATTAGTCGCATTTTTTCACAAAAAAATCGAAAAAAGTCACATTTCCTTAGAAAAGTCGAAAAAAGTCGACAAAGTCGCACAATCTGAGACCTGAGGTTAATTTTAGAAATGACAAGAAAAAGACTTTTTACAATATTTATTAATATTTATATTCATATACATTATAGAGATATTTATTTAATCACGATCACTAACCAATTATATTTCACAATAATACCTAAAGATCAGTTATCCGTTGAGTTTGGCTTTACTGAAAGTACGTAAAATAGAAAAAATTTTTGTTGAAATCATTTACATATGATGAGCGCAAGAGAAGAGCATTCATTGCATCTTCATTTCGTGTATAGAAAAGTAACATTTTTAAAATCCTATCTATTTTTTTCTGCTGTACCTATTCGACTCTCTTCATTGAAAAAAATCTCAAAAGTAACTACTGTTTATTGTTTCTTGTTTCCTTAACAATATCTGAAATTCGTGGCTAGGTAAAGATTTTTTTTATTAAATCCTTATTCAGTAGTGCAATGCATTCTCGTATAATGAAATTAATTTAAAGTGTAGTGAAGACCTCTCATTTTGTACATATCAGAACAACGCATCACTTCGTATTTTTTTTTGTTTTTTTTTTGTATTTTTTTATAATTATTGATTGCCTATTTTTAATCGTGAACATCACGACAAAACTATCTTCTAAAATTTATTAACATGACTTAACTCCTGTCTTCCAATGTTAAAACTCAACAAATTGAGTCCTTATAGAATGAAATCAATAAATATTAACACGTTTATATAAAAAGAAGAATTAGCGCTTACTTGTGCAATAAATTTTTCTGAGACTCTTCAAGAGTCTAGATTGAAAAAATAAAATACCACGGTATTCCAGAGAATGTTCTATTCAGGGGAACATTATTTCTATATCATCCATATCTGAGAAGGAAAAATCATCCGAGAGATCATTTGAATCCTCATTTGGATCAAATTCAATGCTGTCGTCTGCTGATTCATCACCATCACCACTTTCATCGTCTTCATCGTTATCGTCCCCATCATTTTGTTCGTTGTCATCTCTATTATCTTCGCTTCCAGGATCAGCATTATCTGGATCTGTTTTTACAATTTTTAATTAATCTTTAAACTCTTCTGATAAGGGCTGTTAATCATCGGGTACACGCTTCATGATACTCGAAGTATTCCAAAGTACGACATTTAATTAATAATTTAAACTTTATTATTTGTGTTATAAATTTTACTACCTTTTATTTAAAAATTGAAATTATTCTCCAGATTCCAATTAAATTTTTTTCTAGAATTTTTCAACTAAAATTCTTCTCTAATTAAATTATTTTATAGAATTTTTAATAAAATTTAAAACAATTTTTTTAATTATTTAAAGAAAAAAGTTTACGTAAAATAATTCTGAAATTCTCTTGCTTACAATTCTTTTTTAAGAAATTTTGATTATACGAAAAGTTTTCAATTATTTAATAATAATTATTCAATTGTTCAATAATTTATTATTGAATATATTAACAAATTATACTAATTTCAAAAGAATTTAAATACAAATTTTCTAAAAATTTCTTCAGAATTTTCAATTAAATTATTTTAAATTTCAATTTGAACCCTTTTGGATTTCAATTACATATATATATATATATATATAAAAAAATTGTAACCGCATCTCTTCTAACATGCAATTCTTTTTGTAATTTTTAACTAAAATTATTCCCTAAATCAATTATTTTAAATTATTTTTTAGAAAGTTTTTTGAAAATTTAAATATTTAAACAAAAGAAGAAAGTTTCTTGAATTCCATTTATTCACAATTTCATTTTACGAAATTTTAATTCAACTGATTGAAATTTTTTTAAATACCTATATTCAAAAATTCAACTGACTTAAAAAAATTGAATAAAAGTTGTTCAAAAAAACTAATTCTTCGGAATTTTAAAAAAAATCAAATTTCCTAAAACTTTTATTTGAAACCTTTTGAAATTTAATTACATTTATGAAAATTGTAAACACAACTTTAGTAAAATTAAATTATTTTTGGAATCTTTAAGTAAAATTTTATCAAATAGTTATGTAAGTAAAATTATTAAATTTTAATTCAAATTTTCTAAAACTTCAATTTGATACCAATTAAATATAAAAATTATAAACGCAAAGCTACTAAAATTAAATTATTTTTCAAATTTTTAATTAGTATTTTTTTATTGTTCTTTAAGAATTCAATAACTTAAAATAAATGCAGTTTCAATTATTATTATTTTTATTATTTATGATTTCAAAGTTTATATTACAAACAACAACAAAAATTCAAGAAGAATTAAATCTTTGCTAAATTTTTAAAGACTGATTGACTCCAAATTCCGAAATTTTCTAATGAATTTTAAAAATTAAATTAAAAAATTTTTTTAAACTTGATAATTTTCCGGAACTTTTGATAAAGTTCCCTGACATTTTCCTGCGATTTCCCTGACCTGGGACAACCCTGATTAACATTAACATTCAATTAAATTTGAAAAAATTTATTTTGAAAAACAACAAAATTTAACAACGAAATTCTATAACACTTTTTTGGAAACTCTAAGACTAAACAAATTTTGAACACGTTTCCAGGCATAAAATAAGCCTCAAACAACGACAAGTCGAAAAAGAAAAAAGGCCTCACCATCACCATTATTGTCATCTGAACCCGAGTTTGATCCATCATCATCACTCTCATTAAGATCCTCCTCGTCATCATCTTCCTCTGCTTCATCCTCATCATCTCTTCTCCTACCGACATCATATAATCTTACCCAAGACTCCTGTATGCTATTAAATTCTCCCAAATTTTCAACTACTGCAATTTGCGTATCAAACTTATTGCAGGCCAATCCAAAAATGCCTCTCTTTACATCGTAGGTTGCTAAAAACAAAAGGGTTCATTAGAAATTACTTAAAATTAATTAAGCCAAATTATATGCTTAATAGAAACATAAAAAACAATTGTAAATTTACTACTGTACTTACCAATACTACTGTAATCTAAAGCATCTAATGTTTTAAAGGAAGTTGTATAATGGGATTCATCATCATTTTCCTGATCCATAGAAACTGCATAAATGATACTATTCACTGGAGAAAATATAATTTCCATTTGATCAAGAGCCGGAACTGTTTTTAATAAATGGAACGTTCTCAAATCCCATACTTCTGTATTCGACACAACTTCAGTTCCGTTCGGATGGAAAACGCCATTTAACGTTTGGTTCAATTTGTCAAACTTGTGAATTTCCTTTCCCGAATTCACATCCCATAATATTCCATCATTTAGAACTAATTCGTCATTCATACTAAATGTGGCTCGATTTTTGGTATATTGATTCGATATAGAAGGTGTTAAGGTTGTCAATAATTTTCCGGTAGTTATGTCATATATCTGCGAACGAATTAAAAATATTAATTTTTTATAAATAATTCTATTAATACTTGGTCTTCATTATTTTCAAAGATTTTTTTTTTTCAAATATTAATTTCAATTTTTGAATAATTTCAAATTCAAAATTTAAAAAAAAATCCAGCCCCTCTAATTATTAACTAATTTACTAATTAATTGTAAATATATTTATTGTTTTCAAAGACTTTAATAAAATTCTTCGCAAAAATTCAATTATTTTTAAAAATTTGATAAAATTCTTCGCTAAAATTCAATTATTTAAAAAAAATTTTATCATTAACAGGGTGTCCAGCGATTCTTTAAAAAAAATTCAAGGACTTTTCAAGGTTTTCAAGGTCCAAAATAATTTTTTTCAAGATCCATTTTTAGGGTACTAATTTTAAAAATATTTGTTATTTATAATCGAGTGTAATAGAGTAAGTTCTGTTTATTAGTTTTCCTCAATAAGTGTATTGCAAGTAAATTTTTACTTACCCTCTAAATTTGAATTAATAAAAATGATTACTAATTTGATTTAGTGACTGACTTTTTGCTTTTGAATTAGTAAATTTTACTAATAAATAATCATTTCTACTAATTTTTTAGTGAAATTTACTAATTAAAAAGCAAAAAGTCAGTTACTAATTCAAATCAGTGAACATTTTTACTAATTCAAATTTAGAGAATACTTATAAACAGTTTTATAATTTCTACATACAACAGTTATTCATAAATAATAACTTTAAATACAATTTATTGATAAAATATTAGAAATATAAAAAATATCTATTTAAGACAAGTTGTTCATTTCATGACCATTTAGCTTCCTCAATATATAAATAGAAATTCGTGACGTAATTCACGTACAAAATTTTAAAATTGAAATTCAAAAATTCAAAAATTTGAATTTTTTGTGAAAAAGAAAAATATTTATTAATTTTATAAATTTTAATAAAATATATACTTTGTATACATTAATCGATTCGTTTTCTTGTCAGGAATGTAATTTTGAGAATAATTAATAAAAATATATATTAACAAATAAAAAAATTATTTTAAAAAAAACAAAAAAAAGTTTTTTCTGAATTTTAAAAAAATTGTATAAAAAAAAATTTTGTATATATTTTCGAAAATCCTTGTGTCAGATTTTAGGTATTAATGACTGCAATAAACCTGCAAAATTTCAGGACAATCCATCAAAATTTGTCTGAGATAATTTGTACACAATTTTTGTGACATACACACACATCTGGACATTTGCTCATAATTGAATATACATATATGTTCTAGATGAAAATGAGTCCATATAACCTTCTTTTAAAAAATTGAAAATCGTCACGAATGCAGAGCTTCCTCATGAGGAAGCAATACATCAATCAAAATTGTTTTTAAATAATTGAATTTTTTTGGAATTTCTATTAAAATAATTGAAATTTTGCAATGAATTTTATTAAAATTTTTGAAAATAATTGAATTCTATTACTTTTGAAAAAAATTAAATTACTGTGAAGAATTTAATGCTAAATTTTAAAACAACTGATTTTTGCGAAAAAATTTATGCAAATTCATTTTAAATAATTGAATTATTGTAAAATTTTTTTTTTTGAAAATAATTGAAAGTTTGTGTAGAATTTTTAAAAAAATTTTTGTTTAATAATTAAATTCTTTCGGGGAATGTTATTAAAATAGTAGAATATTGAAAACCATCGAAGTAAGAACAATTTTGGAAAATAATTGAATTTCTGCAAAGAATTTAATTAATTTTTAAAATAATTGAATTCTTGTGTTGAATATTGTTATTTATGAAAATAATTGTATTTTGCAATGAATTTTATTAAAATTCCTCAAAATAATTGAACTTTGTCAAAGATTATTGTTATTTATTTATAAAGATAATTGAAATGTTGACCACAATTTTTTTTGAGTTTTTGAAAATAATTGAATTTCTGCGAAGAATTTAATTAATTTTTAAAATAATTGAATTCTTGTAATGAATATTGTTATTTATGAAAATAATTGTATTTTGCAATGAATTTTATAAAAGTTTCTGAATATAATTGAATTTCGGCGAAGAATTTTTATAGTTATAAAGATAATGGAAATATTGACGAGAATTCAACTTAAAATATCAAGGAAATAAATCTCATTTTTAAGAATTTTAATTTTTCAAGGTTTTCTCATAAAATTCAAGGTGTTTTCAAGGTTTTCAAGGTAGCTGGACACCCTGATTAAATTCTTTATGAAAATTGAAATATTTTCAATACAATTTTAATTAAATTCTTTTAAAATATTCAATTATTTTCAAAAATTTGATAAAATTTTTTGCAAAAATTCAATTATTATAGAAAATTTTTATGATTAAATTCTTTATGAATATTTAAATATTTTCAAAACAATTTAAATTAAATTCCTTGAAAAATTATTTTTGAAAATTTTATTAAATTGTTAGCAAGATTTTAATTATTTTCATAATTTATAAAATTTTTCACAGGAATTAATTAAATTTTTTTGAAGAAATTCAATTATTTAAAAAAAATTGTAATAAAATTACTCGAAAGAATTCAATTATTTAAATTGTAATAAAATTTCTCGAAAGAATTCAATGATCTATTTAAGAAAATGTTAATTATAACATTCTTCACAGAAATTCAATTATTTTTAAAAATTTTGATAAAACTCTTTATTAGAATAATTTAAACATTTTTAATATTATTTTAATTAAATTTCTCTTAAGAATTAACTTATTTTTAAAGATTTTAATTAAATTTTTCGCAAGAAATTTAAGTATTTTAAAACATGTGGATAAAATTCTTTAAAAAAATTTATTTATTTTAGATTCAAAATTCTAAAAAAAATATATTTAATTGAAAACAATTTTGTTTAATTAATTTTTGGTATTTTGTAATCTTCATAGTATCAAGTTAGAATTTCATTAATTTTAAAATTAAAAAATTAAAAAGAGAAATTATAATTTAAAAAATTAGGAAACAAAAATCAAACGAAAATATAAACTTTTATATTATTTTTTACTGTATTTTTAACTTTAATCAATTTCATCTTACCGTTGCGACTTCGCCTTGAGTTCCAATTATCCTATCCTGGAGTTTTCCAAACTCTACGAAATCCTCGTGATCAAGAGATAATTTCATATCGAAAAATGTCCCAAAACTCCAAAGAGCAGACATTGGTGTTCGCCATGCGGTCGAAGTTAATAAGAGATTTCCTTTTTTATTGCATTCTATGTGATAAATGTAAGATTCATGACATTGATATGTTCCTTCTTCAGTTCCTGTGTGAGCATTAAACATTTTCACTTCTCCGGCGTAATTTCCAAGCACAAGATATTCTTGACATGGCTGAAAAAATATTTAGTAAAATTATTAAAGAAAATTAAACTTTCAATCACTAAAAGAACGATTAAGATTTTAGGACATTTTTCCACTTATTTTTTTAATTAAAAAGTAAACGTTTTTTTTTCTTACCGAAAACGTGCAGCAAGTGAAGGTTCCTTCAGGATCATTCGGTCGGAAAGTTTTAACAGGACAAAAACGACTGTAAATATGTCTTCTATCCAATCGTCTTCCATCTACGCCTAAAGGTCGTCTTGATAATCGCATTGACACGTTCAATGGTGTTGAATTTTTTGTACAAGGATCAGGACATTTGTGAGGTCTACAAAAATATAATATTTTAGTTGAGCAAAATTCTTATCTTGGTAATTGCAAGTATGAATTTTTTAACATATTTTTAATTATATTTCTTGTATTGTATTCTATTTTCTATATTCTGTATTCTTCGTTGTATATTCTAATAATGTAGATATGTAGTAATATAATTATAATATACTAAAAAATATTGTAGAAATAAAACTTACTCAAAAAGATTAAATTGAGGACACGTGACCATAGGATTTTTGCACAGAGCGTGTTGATTTGTTAAATATTCCGTAATAATAGAATCTAAAGTAACAGTGGCCATATTTGACGTCGCAACTCCTGGACCACCTCCGCCAGGATCTCGTGATATCTGTTTTTGCAAAGATCGACAAGAATTCGCCTGCAATTGCGAGGAGAACTGAGAATTCGTTAGAGCTGTCGACAACGGTTGTTTCTCGCTTTGAATGGATTTTCTGTGAGAAGAAAATTAAGAGAAATTAGTTATTAATAAATCATGTGCAGTTTTTTTTTGAAATTTTGATTAATCAATAAAAAGTAATTAAAAAGAAATTTTGATTAACTAATTAAAAGTAAGTAATGAAAATAATTACTTTTGATTAATTTGAAGTTTTATCGGTTGACTAAGATTATTTGCTGCAGGACTCTGACTCAGAGAATCTGCAAGTTTTATGCGAATTGGATTTGGCGAAGGTGAAGCATTCGAGCAGACGTTAATAAATCGGGAAGGACCAGAAGTGGGAGTCACATTTGTTCTTGGTGTTGTTTCTCGAGCACCACATCTATTTGTATTGTAGAGATTCGCAGGTGCGCCTGGTGAAAAACCAACCCTTGGCTGAAAAAAGAAAATTGTCATGTAATTAAAAAAATAATACAAATTTTCCAAAAAATATGAATATTTCTACAATTACTCACCCCTGCCGGCGCAGGACTTCTATAATGAAAAGGTTGATATGATGTAACAGCTTTCAAAGCAGCAGGAGAATCTAAACTCGCTTCTCGCAGAAGTGAATTGGCCGTTTCCATTAAGCCTTTCGAAACAAAATGCTGATACATAAGTTGATATAACTGTTGTTCATTATATTGTATTCTCGTTTGCGCAACAACGTTTGCCTAAGGAATAAAATTTCGAATTTTTAATTTTAATTTTTTAATTAAATAAATAGTGGACTTTCTTTTACTTACTCGGTGTAGACTGACTAGTGAAATTTCGTATTCAGCCCCAGTTGGCTTTGCTTTACCAGAAACTCTCTCCATCAATTCCAAAGCATATTTTTGAAACATAACGTGCTCCTGTCTTTTCTCTTGAAGTATTGGATCCTTCATGAGAGCCTGAATTAAATTATCAGTAACCATTGGCAATTTACTGATAATTTGTCTGACTTTTTCACTCCTTGCGAGTCCAGCAAGTGCTCGACATGCGAGAGCACGAATACTGTCTGCGTCCGTGATTGGAGTTTTCACCATCATTAATTGTAATAAAACCTGTAAGGAAAAAATTTTAAAAATTAACAATATCTAGACAGTAATAATTTAAGATTATAAAATAAAATTAATTACCATTATGCCATTGTTTGATCTCACACTTTCCCACACTTTTTGTATTAATTCCTCACTATTATGAAGATTGGTCTTCTTTTTTGCTGACCCTGTTACTGAAAACCTAGCAACGTTTCCGCCCACCTAAAAAAGATTTACTATTAAATAACTATTAATAACAATTTATTAAAACTAAATTAAAATTAAATAAAAAAAAAAAATTACCAATTGTCACGTGATAAATAATTATTTTAATAGATTAATTAAAAAGTAACTTTACCCTATTAATCGGTGCACAAACACAATTTACAACAGCTCGAAGCGCAGCTCTTTGAACATCGGGATCTGCAATGATTTCGCATTCTGCAGCGGCCAATAATAAATTAATTGCCATTGTCATGGACATGTCCGGCATGTCAACTCTTTCGCAAAGTAATGACATAACTTTTGGTACAACAGAACAAATTGCAATAACATCCAAACAAGAACGAACAGTTTCTGCACTAGACGTGGCGTGAACTCTGTAATTTTAAAATAATTTTCAATTTTAATCATAATGTTATTAATCATGTTTTTTTCCAAAAGTTGATAAAAATGGACAATTATATTCACCTTCCACTGTAATTCCATTCACGAGCAAAAGCAATTATTTGGAGAAGAAGAGTAATTCCACCGAGACGATAAAGTTCTTCCACTGGAAACCATAATGTTCTCAAAGACATTAATTCTTGTAGAATTTCTACTTTCGCTTGCACTTCTTCGCTGCTCAATTTACACGCCTAGAAGAAATTGTTTAATTTTAATTAGAAATAATTTTCATTGTTTACTAATTTTACAATTTACATTTTTTTATTTACAACTCAAGTCTTAGATAAAACACTAATCTATATCTATATTAAAAATCGTACAGTTTTTTAATAATTTTTCTTTTTAAATTTTTTCAATTTAAAAATTAATGTATTGAAAATCATTGAATTCATGAAAAAAATTTTATTAAAAGATTTGGAAATAATTGAATTCCTTCGAAGAATTTTATTATTTATGAAATAAAATGAATTCTTTCGAAGAATTTTATTATTTATGAAATAAAATGAATTGTTTTGAAAAATTTTATTATTTATGAGAATAATTGAATTCTTTTGAGAAATAAATACTATTGAAGTTTTTGACAATAGCAAATTAAATTCTTTGAAACGATTTTATTAGTTTTTCTAAATAATTATATTATTTTGAAGAATTTCTTTAACTTTTTTATAAAAATAATGTAGTTTTTTAAAATAATTTTAATTTAAGCAAAGATTTTTATTCAAATTTTTAAAATAATCGTGTCTCTTAATAATTATAATCAAAAATTTGATTACCAATTATTGAATTTTAGTAAAATTGTATTGAAAATAATTTAATTTCACAGGAAAATTTTATTATTTATAAAAAATAATTGAATTCTTTCGATAAATTTTATTAAAATTTTATTGTATTAAAAAATTCAATGAATTCCTACAAAGAATTTTGCTATTATTTATAAAAAAATAATTAGATTCTTTTAAAGAATGTTATTATTTATGAAAATAATTCAATTTAAAAAAAAATTTTGAAAATCCTAATTAATTTCTTTGAATTTTTTAAAAATAATGGAGTTTCTTTTTAATTGAAATTTTTGAAAGTGATTGAATTTTATGAAATTTTTTTTTTTTAGTTTTTATAACAATCGAATTTGTTAATAATTGAAATAAAACAATTAATTATTGAATTTTATTAATATTGTCAGAATAACAATCAAATTGTTCTCAGAATTATATTACAATTTTTTAAAATAATTTTATTCATTCAATGAATTTTATTAAAATATTGAAAATAATTTATTTGTTTCGGAGAATTTATTAAAATTTTAGAAAATATTTAATTCTTTCAAAAAAATTTTATTACAAATTTAAAAAATATAATTGAATCCTTTCGTGAAATTTTATAGAAAATGTATTAAAAATACTTGAATTCCCGCAAAGAATTTTACTATATATAAAAATAATTGAATTCTTTCGAAAAATGTTATTATTTTTGAAAATAATTGAATTCTTGCGGAAATTTTTTAAAATAATAAATAATAATAATAATTATGTAGTTAATAAGTAATTTTTAAAAATTCTCGAATCCAAAATTATTTAAAAATTGAAGTTGATGATAATTGTAATTTTCATAATAATATTATAAAATAAGCGTATAATAAAATATGTAAACAATAAAAACCTTATATGGAGGAATAGAAGGCTGCCAAGTATCGCGTTCAGTTCTAGCATTCTCCGCTCTTTGCAACTGTTCTGCTTTTAAATACAAATGTGCCTCCATATATCTTTTCAAAGCGACAGCGACGTGTCTGACAATTTGTCTAGAAGCACATTCTTCATCGTCATTCAGAGAAGGCTCTTCCTCGACGTTTAGAATCGGTAACGTTGATATCTAAAAAATTTTCCATATTAATAAAATTTGATGTTATTTACCTTTCACTAAATTTTTTTAAAATTAAACAAAAAGTGAGATTTACACTCACCACATTAAATAGTTTTCTAAGGCCATCTTGAGCGTCGAATTCCTCCAAAATGACCTTAAATGGAAAAGAAAAACCGAAAAACATTGTTGCATGACATCTTCCGGAATCATGGCTTCTTTCAAGCAACCAAAGTGCATATGTGACAAGATCCGAAATAACGTGTTTCGGCAAGAGACAAACACGCTCCATCGCATCCTCACAATATGCAAGATAATACAGACATATCGAAACACCAGTGGCAGCAACACTAGGTCTCGGAACATCTAACAATTTTTGCAAACCACCCATATTCAAAAATTCGATGGAAAACTTTTTATGACATAAAAGAGAGGCGAGATATTTTAGCGCTTCGAAAGCCAAACGACTGTCTTTAGTTTCCCGAACATTAATGTACTTGAGAATTAATTCTAAAGCATTCTGCTCGAAAACATGGCCTAAAAATTCTTGATACTCTCCCATTGGTGTCAAATACCTAAGAATTAGCATTTGCCTCGTAGCAAGCGTTGGAGGGTGAATTTGTATATTCCCAATCACATAAGACTCCATTTCCGCCCAGGATGAATTTGAATTTCCTTCCACAACACTACTTGGTGTAGTACTAACATTTAACGATCTAGATAAATTGCATCTCGCTGCAGTTGTCGCGCTACTGGGTCTAGGTGGAGTAGAAAGATTGTTCTGTCCTTTTACAGGTGTTACTTGGGAATTTGAAAAATTGTTAGCTTTTGGAATCGATAAGGGAGGCGACATTATTTCCGGATAAGAATTGTCGAGTGTTTTTAACGGAGTCGATGGTTCATCATTATTTTTCAATCTTTTACTGGGGGGAATTTCGTCGGAACTTTGACCACTCTCTTCTTCATAATCTTCACAAGTATTTTCATGCGATGCCGAAACATTTTCTGAAGAATTAACAACTCCATTTTCTCGATACTTGTTCTTGACTTTTCGCTTTCCTGGAACGCCTTTGTGCTCGAAATCATGCAGAATATTTCGATTTTGTCCGAAATGAGCAAAAGGTCGTGTGGTTGCACACGCTTGCCTTCCTTCAGTGGCTTTATCCTGTAATTTGTGAAGTCTCTGCAACATTAATGGCACCATTTTACCATTTTGCTCTCGAAATCCTGTTGCAATGTCCTGGACTTCCATTGCTGCGGCCAATAAACCAGTTGCATAGCTTTGAAGTGGTTCGACACTTTTTTCAGCCCAAGAAAAAAGTCTTTGAATTAAACCTTCCATATCGGGTTGAAATACTGCTGATGTTTCGAGGCCAGGTAGAATATCCAACATCAAACGACATGCTGCGGTGTTTAATTTTCTCACATCTCGTCCAGCAATGCCTGATCGCATCCAAAAAGTATCTCGAAGGTAATCGTTGATTAACTGTCAAAAACAATCAAATAAGTATTCAATACACAGCTTACAGGCCTCGGGTCGACTTTAAGGAACAAAATAATAATTTTAAAAAATTATAATAAAGAAACTCTTAAAATTAATTTTTTTTTAAATATTTTGACAGGGTTGCTACAATGTCTGGAAACCTGGAAAACCTGGAAATGTCAGGGAATTTTATTTTGTATGGAAAAGTCAGGGAAAATAATTTTCTGTTAAAATTATATTAATTTTTGGCGAATTTTACCAAATTTTACCATAAAAGGTACCCTTTGCTACCTTTTTCCCTGTTAAGGGGATGTCAAAGTCGATTGGATTTTTGCATTGAGCTTCAATGGGAAAATCGCATCGACTTTGACATCCCCTTAAGGGAATTGGCTGCCAAAAAGAGACAATTAATAGAAGAGGCTAACCTAATTAATTGAGAGTTAAAAATTATATAAAAACTATAAGATTTTATATTTATGAGATTGAATTACTTAATTTTATTTTTTAAACCATGTTATAAAAACATACCGCAATAGTGTATCTTAAATACACACGTTTTTACATCTATCTCATATCGCAAATTAATAATTTTTAAAATACTATGATAAAAAATATAATAATTATACGTATATGGGGCATTCCATTTCAAAACGAACCACCTTATAAACAATTGACATTGTAAGGCAATTTTTAAATAATTATTTCTACTATTTATTGAAGTCAAACTTTATTTACTATTATTGATTTGAATAGAAAAATTTCTCAACTTTATGATGGTAAAAAAATTTTTGAAAAAAATAATAGAATTTTTGAAAAAAATTAAGTTTGAAAGTTAATCTTTTAAATATCTCAAAACATGTCGCGTCCGATTTTCTTGAAACTTATATCAAAATGAAGCTTAAAAATTGTAGTTTTATTTTCTGTAAACATTATAATGGGCAATTCGGTTGAAATTAAGAAATGAATTAAATTTTACAAGAATTTCGAAGGTTATAATGTATATATCGAGCGGAATTTGTTTTTTTCAAATTTTTACACAGTTTAACCTCTGACATCTTTGTAAAATTTAATTAATTTCTTAATTTTTACCGAATTTCCCATTATAATGGTTACAGTAAATAAAACTAAAATTTTTAAGCTTTATTTTGACATAAATTACAATAAAATCGGACGTTTTGAGATATTCAAAAGGTTAACTTTCAAACTTAATTTTTTTCATAAATTCTATTATTTTTTAAAAAAAATTTTTTACCATCATAAAGTTGAGAAAATTTTCTTTTAAAATCACTAATAGTAAATAAAGTTTCGCTTCAATAAATTGGAGAAATAATTATTTAAAAATTGCCTTACAATGTCAATTGTTTATAAGGTGGTTCGTTTTGAAATGGAATGCCCCATATATATATATATATATATATATATATATATACAATTAAAAAATTTCCAAACAATTGAATTTTGGTAAAATCTTTTAAAAATAATTGAATCGTGAATTTGGAAAAGGGTTCAGCTTGGATTTTTTCAAATTTCACTTTTTTGCATTTTTTGCATTATTACATATTCACTGACGTTTTCTTAAAAGGAAAATTTCATCTGAGGTAATTTTAGCAGAGAAAAATGTATTAAAGTGTGATTTCCTTTGACTTTTAAGTTCTAACCTAAGATTGTTTGTTTTCTAACCTCATGCTGAATTGTTTTTGAGTTAAAAAAAAATTAATTTTAATACATTTTAAAATTAAATAAACAAATTGTTTCTCGATAGTAAAACATTTCATTAATATATTTTTACGATTAAAACGATTAAATTTTTTTCATAAATTTCGAAAAGGGCTCAACTCTGACAACTATAATATCAATTTTCTCAAACTCACTGTTATTAAGGACAATTCTTTTATAATTTTCTCATATAAAATAGCATCTAGTTACTATGAAAAAAAGCGGACTCTTTTAATTAAAGCTGTTTGAAATAAACAGTTTTTTGTGTCTCCTGTAAAATTTCAAAAAACCGAGTTGAGCCCTTTTCGAAATTCACGATTCATTTAAAATTTGATAAAATCTTTTTAAAACAATTGAATTTTGGAAAAATCGTTTAAAAATAATTTAAATTTGACAAAATCTTTAAAAAATAATTGAATATTTGAAAAATATAAAATATATTAAATTTTTGAAGAATTTTAATTATAAATATAAACATGATTTTTCCGAAATTTTAATAAGAATCTAAAGAAGTAAATATAACAAAATGTAATTTACTTTGTTCGTAGATAAGTAAATCTTAAAAAATTATGATAAAACAATTCTAAGAATTATTTTTTTAAAAACATTGTAATGTAATTTTTCGAAAATAATTAAATTTCTTAAAAGAATTTATGTATAATTTAAAAAAAAACTAAGTAATTTTTTGAAGAATTTTAATTAAAAATTTTCACAATTATTGTTTTCTCCAAACTGTTAAAAATTTTAATGTTTGTATTATTTTGTGTACCTATGTATTTGAATTTTCGGAATTATATTTTTAAAAATATTGAAAATAATTGAATTTTAAAAAGTTATAATGAAAAAAATTCTAAGAATTACTTTTCTAAAAAAAATTTGAATATTATTTTTTAGAAGTTAGTTTTCCTTAATTTTAATTATCATAAATTTATACTTGAAGATTTTTCATTTAATTTTTTTGAGAATTCAATTATTTTCACAAAATTTGCAATGAAATTTCTTCAAAAGTTGATTTTTAAAAATTGTTATAATAATACTTGAAAAAAATCAATTATTTTCAATTAAATTTTACAAAATTTCAATTATTTCAAATCTCTTTAATTGTATATTTTGAAAATTTAATTAGAAAAATGATTCAAAAATAATTTTTGAAAGATTTGTCTACAGTTATTTTTCACACTAGAAAAATTAAAATAATTTGCATTTATCCTAGAAATGTGGTATTTTGTTGCAATATTTGGAAGAAAAGTCGAAAAAGTCAAAATATCCAAATTTATTAAAATTTATAAATTTAATTATTTACGTACCTTTGTCATAAAATTTTCTTTTCGGAAAAGTACTTTCAAGATGTGACCAAAATTACATTCGGGATCAGTTCGTGACGGATGTCTTTCATCAAACGGATCAGGATCCATTTTTAAATAATTTTCTGTTTCAAGTTCAATGATTTCAGCTAGTCTTTGTAAAGTTGGAATTGGATCGTAAGTTGAGGAAACATGCTCCTCTTCCCATTGTCTCAAAATTTGAACTACATCCGTAACTTCTGCAAGTGATTCTGCTGTAGCCATCTTGAGGTTGAAAACTATAATAACCAGTAAACAAAATAAAAATTAATTGCAAATATTTAAAAAAAAAAAATTAAATGTTTTGAATGTTTCTTTAATAATATTATTTTTAATTTATTAAATTTATAGAAAGTTTAAAAAGTAAAAATATTAAACACTGTTTAAAGAATTATTGAATTGCAAGTAATTAATATTAATTAATTGCAACTAAGATATTAATTGTTGTAAAATACATACAACATGTTTAAATTCATGTCATTAATAGTAAAACAACTTAAAAAATCTATAACACCAAAATACTAACCGGATTAAAAAACAAACTCTGTATTTATTGATAAACACTTATTAAATAACTTTACAAAACAAAAGTGAAAAGAATATTAATTTCAATCACTTTTTGAAACTAGTATTTTAAACATCAATTTCATTATAGACGATTAGTTTTTACCGTTTTTACTATACCAAAAAACTAACCTCAACTATTGAACGTCATTTAAAATATATGAAAAATCATGAAAGTACGTAAGTTTGAAAATAATATTTCTCTTCTAGTGTTAATTGAATATCCAAACAAATATATCGTAGCAATTAGAATGCGTTAATAGTGACAATGAAAGTACAATATACAGAACAACATTCGTCCGTGCAAAAAAGAAGCCATATGTACGGACGGGTTGTGCTGACGATCTGCATCATCTGACGACAATCCGACGAAGGGATGGCGTGTATCATTTATAGGTTATGTCATATTAATGAATGAGGAAGGAAAATGAAATGCACATGACAGTGTATAAAGCATACCTTTTTCAATAAAAAGTAAATAAATATTATTAACGTAATTCCCCGATCTTAATTAACACTTTGTGTTCCTCAGTCTTCTTTATATTGCAGAGAAAAAAAATAATCTTATAAATCTCAATTGTAAAGCACGCAACTTTTGTCCTTCGATTGACTACAAAATGTTCACAATATGAGTGAACAACCACCAAACTTGCAACCACGAACTAAGTTCTCTTTACATCACAACAACAATCACACAACACAACCACCACAAACAAAAGTGTTTAAAATGGTTCAAGGGAATATACTTCAAAAAGACACTTTTTTCAAATAATTTGGAAATGATTCTGGAAAGTTTTATTCAAGAATATAACACTTTGGATATGTACATTAATTTATATTAGACTTCTATAAAATTTACCCATCTTGCTATATTAAGAATCTTGACATTTTTTTAAAGTAAGTAATAATTTTTTTTACAAGAAACATAAACTTTCTAAAAACTATAATATTTGGCGCTAAAAGGTAATTTTATATAAATTTTCAAGTTTTTGGAAATTTTGAACGAGGTCTAACAGAAATGAAGCACTATTGGTTTAAATATTTATTCCTAACAATTGGTTCTTTTCTAATTGGTCGAATCATTTTTTTCTAAATTAAAACTGAATTTCATTGGTTCGTTCGTAATGGACAATTAAGCTTTCACCATACATTAATCTGACCGAACTGAACATAATATTTAAAAATTTTTTAAATTAATTAACTAATTTTACTTGTAACAATTAAATTAAATTATCAATAGTTATTAATCTAAAAATTAAATGTATTTGAAAGACTTTATGTAATGATAATATTTTACTTAAGATGACGTGGATGACATTTACATTTTAAGGTTATGTTTTTATAATATAAATGTATTGACCGCAGTGTTACTGTCAATTGTGTAATTATGCATCTACGTTTATTTGGCTGTTTTTACATAAACAATTAAAGTTTTAACAATAAAAATATTGAAGAAATAATTTTATTATAGAAAGAATTCTATAATTTGAAATAATTTGCTAGAATGACGAAAAAGTGATTTTGAATCAGAATGTTTATGTTTAGATTGAATTTATTTATGACAATTGAAAGAAGTTAAAATTTTGTAAATATGAGTGGTGGCATAGCTCCTAGTAAAGCAACAGTCTATATTTCAAATTTACCATTTTCATTAACAAATAATGATGTTCACAAATTGCTGGAAAGTTATGGAAAAATTGTTAAGTAAGCCTATAAAAATTAAAATAATAATAAAATAAAAATAATCCAAATTTTTAAGATTTCGAAATATGTTTAGAGACACTGTATAGATATATGTGAGTTAAAATATGAATATGTTATTTATTGTTTCAGAGTAACTATTGTGAAAGATAAATTGACTCGAAGAAGTAAAGGCGTGGCTTTTGTTTTGTTTTTAAAATCTGAAGAAGCTCTCTCATGCGCTAAAGGATTAAATGACACCCAAGTGAGTTAGGTTATTGTCTCTTATTAATAAGTTATTAATTAAGTTAAAGGTTAAAGAAACCATTGGAAAAAGTATGTTTTATTTAGAGAAAAAACCATTTCAGATTGGAGGTCGTACAGTAAGAAGTTCAATAGCAAAAGACAATGGTCGAAGTACAGAATTTATTCGGCGTAAAGACTATCCGGATAAATCTCGTTGTTACGAATGTGGAGAAGAAGGACATTTATCTTATCAATGTGAGAGTAATACTCTAGGTTCTCGTACACCACCGCCGAAAAAAATAAGAAAGAGAAATCTAAAATTAAAAGATGACAATGTTGAAGGAAGTAACGTTAGTTATTACGATGGCGACAGTGAGGAAGAAGTTCGAGAGCCAAGAGGCGCAGACAAAGATGAGCATTATACAGAAGAAACCACTGACGATGAGACATGGAGTTCGTCCATTAGAATAGAAGTAAGAATATTGCCAAAAGTTATTTCTAACCAATGCTATTATTTTTATTAATTATTGTGCTCGGATTGTGCGACTTTATCGACTTTTTTCGACTTTTCTAAGGAAATGTGACTTTTTTCGACTTTTTTGTAAAAAATGCGACTAATCGACTTTTTCGAAATTTTTTTTAGTTAAAATGCGACTGAAATTAAAATTTTTTTTTTTTAATTTAAAGGAAAAAGTTTGAGTCAAAAAAATGTTCTGTTACATTTATTTACAAATTTCTTTCAAATTTTTCGAAAACATCAATAACTTCTTTTTTAAATAGTAAATATTTAATTATTATTTTTCCACAGGAATTAAAATTTTTCAAAAGATTCAAATTCAAACCTTTTTGAAATTAAACAACTTATAAAAAATTGTTATAAAACATTAAGAAATCGATCACTCCGAGTCATCGACTCGGAGCAATCAATGTCTTCCTGTTTTATAATAATTAAAGAGGATCGAGTGTTAAAATCATTATTTTATATTATAAATATAAGACTTTATAAAAAAAAAATTTTTAATTATTTTTTATGTAAATAATTAAATTATTGGGAAGAAATTTATAAAACATTAGTAAGTAATTGAATTTTGCAGAAGAATTTTGATATTTACAAAAATAATTGAAATTTTGATAATTTAAAAAAAATTTTTGAAAATAATTTAATTTCTGCCAAGAATTTTTTTACTTTTGAAGATATTTGAATTTTGCAAAGAATTTTATCAGAACTTTTGAAAATAATTAAATTTCTAGGATGAATTTTATTATTTATGAAGATAATGATAATTTTGACGAGAAATTTAAAGAAAATTTTGAAAATAATTGAATTTCTAGAATGAATTTTATTATTTATAAAGATAATTGAAATTTTGACAAGAATTTTATTAAAATTCTTTGCAAATAATTGAATTTTAGAGAAGAATTTTATTATTCACAAAGATAATTGAAATTTTTAACAGATTTTTTTTTTAAAGTAATTGAATTTTGCAGAAGAATTTTTATATTTATAAACAAAATTAAATTTCTTTAAAGAATTTTGAAAATAATTAAATTTTTATGATGAATTTTATTATTTATAAAATTTTGAATATTATTGAATTTCTGCGAGGAATTTTATTACTTTTGAAAATACATAATTGAATTTCAGAGAAGAATTTTATTAAAATTTTTTTTTAATTGAATTTCGGAGAAGAATTTTATTATTTATAAAAATAATAATTGACATTTTAAAGACAGTTTTTTAAAAAATTGTTAAAAATACCTAATGAAAATTTTGCTATGAATTTTATTAGATTTTTTAAATTTTATTCCGAATTGTTTGATATTAATGTATCTGTTGTCGAGAAATGTGATTTTTTTACAATTTTGTGTTTTCTTTTTGTCGTTTTTTTCTAAGATTTCATGCGACTTTTTTTCGACTTTTTCGGAAATTTTATGCGACTTTTTGTGACTTTTGTTGTGAATTTATGCGACTAAAGCGACTTTTTTTGAGTCTTAAAGACGATCCGAGCCCTGTATTATATTTGATCTGTTTTATTTTATTGATAAATAAAATTTTATATTTTAGCAAGAAAAGCAAGAAGTTGAAAAGTATAGACTTAAAGTTGTAACTGGACATTACAACGAATCCGAACAGTCAGTAAAGAGGAAACGTTTCAAGAAAAGTAGCTACTTTAGTGATGAAGAAGAAGCATTTGAAGAGTAATTTTAATATAGGTATAAAATTTCAATATTATTTCTAGTTAAGTGTTTTTAAATATGAAATATGTATTTAATTGAATATTTTTTAGTCAGGAATTAAAACAAGAAGTCTCAAAGTTGTACAAAAATTTAAATATATTTATTTTTGGTATAAAAGATAAATTTCCTTTTAGAGTAGTTAACAGCATTTTTAAAGCATTCAACTTTTAGTTTTTATATTAGAAAAATATAGAAAAATTTCATCTTATGAATATTAATTAAGTCAACGTAAGATTTTTTCCACTCGTACTGTGATTAATAAACTCATTAGATTCTGGACACACAGTTGGTAAATGACCTTTCTTCTTACATTTCTTGCAAAGTCGTCCAAAACTTGCACATTTTCTCTCAACATCAACATGAGATTGACCGCAATTTTGACAAAAAGTTAACATTCGAAATGGACACTTCCAATAAAAATGAAATAATCCATCGCATCTGGAACATTGCATTCCAAAAGCAGGACACTGATTTTCTCCATGATTCATTCCACACTGAAGGCAATCAATAATATAGAGATATTTACAAGTTTTCGCAAAATGATTCAATTCATTACATTTGTAGCATCGTTGTTGATTTGCAGGACACAATCCATGCGATAAATGATAACGACCACAACAATTATTATTATGGCGTAAATCTGATTTCCTAGTTTCTAATTTCTGGAGATAATTTTCCCTCAACTCTCGATGTCGCTGATTTTCATGGACATTTACCAAAAAAATAATTTCATTCATATTGAGATGCTTTAGTTGAAATGAATTTCGAATACAAATAATTTCCGTTATGATCTCGAGAAAATTATTCTGCTTTAAATCGTAAATAATTTTTTCCTTTACTGCTGTGTCCGAAGATTCGCATCCAAAATTTTTAGCTTCAATCTAAAAGTAATTAAAATTAAATTACGTTTTGTAAAAAATATTTTTCAAAAGTAATCTTGAAAGTAAACTTGTACATACTTTTAAACGGTCTATGTATTCTTTAATACATTCCGTTTGTTTATTTCTAGGAAAGCGACGTAAGTAGAAAAAAGTGTCAAATTTTTTTAACAAAGCATCAAAATTTTGTTCATCAAAACTATTGCTGAATACAAAATATTCTGCAATTATATCTAGTCCATAAGGTCCAATGACCTTTCTTAATACGAGTCCTAAAATTTCCGAAGTTTCCACTTTTAGGGCTTCATTTTTAATTGTATTGAAAAATTTCTCTTTCCAAATTATCCATTTATGCCAATCACAATGTCTTGGTAGAGGATCGACATTGTAAGTGACATTTTTTTCGCTACTCTCACAACAACCTATAAAAATTAATGATCACATTTTCCCACTAATTTAAACTATTTAATTTGAATCACACGTAATAAAAATTGTGTTAATTTTCGACAGTTAAATTATTTATTTATTAATTTTTATTAATTATTTATTTATAATTATGCACAATAATGGTAAATAAATGTCTTTTTAAGGTTATGATTACCCATTTTGTTGTTTGTTGAAAATCTATAAATATTCTTAATACAAAAAAGAATTTTTTTATTCTTTTTCCGAAATGTACATTATACACTATAAAAATTCACACGTTTAGAATATTAAATTAATTTTGTTTTATTAACTTATTTAATACTTTGAAAACAATTGTTTAGTCTACCGGTTCAACCGGCTTTAGCGGGTGTATGTACATTCGATATACAATTCGCAATTTCAGTTCAGGTTAGTATTTAGACTACAGCATAATATTGATTTTTGAAAATTATTCAATGTACCAATTCTAAAAAAGGGGTGAATATTTCATTTAGAGCAGTTTTTATTTAAAAAGTGCTATTTACCAAAAATAATGATTCTTATTACAAATGAAATACATTTTATTGAAGATTCAGAATACAAATTCGTAGAAAAATACAAAAGACAAGTCTATTTTATTATATAAAATATATTTATATATGTATATTTTTTAAACGTAATTTTCAGTAGAGAAAATATTTTTATCATAAAGTATTTCGCGAATATTTAATCTATAAATCGTAGAAAAATACAAAACATTTCTTTATCTATAATTATAACATTTATCGTTGATTTACAACTAAAAATTTCTTTGGATTCGCAAAGAGTCAAAAGCTTATTTAATTTATTCATTTATATTTGCATATTTTTTAAACATAACTTTTAGAAGAGAAAATATTTTTATCAAAAAGTATTTCACGAATATTTAGACTATAAATCGTAGAAAAATACAAAAAATTTCCTTATCTATAATTATGATATTGAATATTTTTATGTTGAAGAAAAATTTTCTTCTAAAAAATTATTAGTATTTTTAAAGTCTTTCAGGAATATGTAAACTACATATCGTAGAAAAATACGAAACATTTATAATTATAACATTAATCGTTGATCAACAACTAGAAATTTCTTTGGTATAACAAAGAGTCAAAAACTTATTTGTTAATAATTCAAAAAAGATTGAAAGTGTTTATAATCAGGAAGAAATTGATAAGTTTCTGGAATATTTTACCTTCTTTTTACAATTATCACACGTCTATATCTTCCTGATTGTGAGCGAGTTGGTTGAAGACATTTCCAATGAAAATGATTATTTCCATTGCACCTGGAGCATTTAAGATGAAAAGCTTCGCAGTTGCGTTTGAGATGACTAATTCCACAATAAGTACAATCCATAACATAGGCGCGACTTCTTATCCCATATAGATGATTTACTAGAATATTTGCGAGATATTATTTTATTTCTCAAAACATCACTTTAGTATAATTTTAGCTCTAAAAAATAATTGTAAGACAGAATGCTTATAGGTAAATAATGTCTTATTAAGTAATGAATCATTAATCAAATTTTAAGTAAAAATACTTTTTAAACAACATAAGTCTTAATTGAAAGAATTTTTTAGAATAAGAATAATAATTAAACAAAAATATCTTTAAAACTAAAATAGATTTGAACGATATTTTATAGAAAAAGATTACAATTTGTAAAAAAATTTGTTAAGCAAATATTTAAAGTCTCAAATTCTTTGTTTAATAGAATATTTATGTGCCAATCTTTCAATTTTCAAAAAATCTTATTTATTGGAATATATGTTTAAATAAACTTTTATTAATACAATGTATTATTTAGAAAAAATGATATATGAAAAAATGTATAATTTAATTAACTCTTGTATGACAAAAATTTTTCTTAGGCAAATGGTAATTTTATAGAATGTTAATTAAAAAGAATATTAATTTACAAGAAATGAAAGTGAAACGAATTCTAATTTAATAGAATACTTAAATGTCTGAATTATAATTTGGCAGCATGTCAATTCGATCGATTTTATATTTGTAAGAAATTCAATTTGACATAACATCAATTTATAAGAAACACTTTTTCGTAGAATTTTAATTTATCAGAATTGTAATTTTGTAGAATATTAATATTGCCAAATCTAATTTTAGTAGAAATCTGCTTTATCAGAATGATCAAATGTTCGAATCTTCAAAATTTCTAATTTCATTTTTACCTACAATCAATGTGACATAAATATTTGGCGCAAATTTAAAAATTGACCAATCAGAAATTAAATTTTTAAAATTTGCGCCAAATATTTATGTCACATTGATTGTAGGTAAAAATGAAATTAGAAATTTTGAAGATTCGAACATTTGATCATTCTGATAAAGCAGATTTCTACTAAAATTAGATTTGGCAATATTAATATTCTACAAAATTACAATTCTGATAAATTAAAATTCTACGAAAAAGTGTTTCTTATAAATTGATGTTATGTCAAATTGAATTTCTTACAAATATAAAATCGATCGAATTGACATGCTGCCAAATTATAATTCAGACATTTAAGTATTCTATTAAATTAGAATTCGTTTCACTTTCATTTCTTGTAAATTAATATTCTTTTTAATTAACATTCTATAAAATTACCATTTGCCTAAGAAAAATTTTTGTCATACAAGAGTTAATTAAATTATACATTTTTTCATATATCATTTTTTCTAAATAATACATTGTATTAATAAAAGTTTATTTAAACATATATTCCAATAAATAAGATTTTTTGAAAATTGAAAGATTGGCACATAAATATTCTATTAAACAAAGAATTTGAGACTTTAAATATTTGCTTAACAAATTTTTTTACAAATTGTAATCTTTTTCTATAAAATATCGTTCAAATCTATTTTAGTTTTAAAGATATTTTTGTTTAATTATTATTCTTATTCTAAAAAATTCTTTCAATTAAGACTTATGTTGTTTAAAAAGTATTTTTACTTAAAATTTGATTAATGATTCATTACTTAATAAGACATTATTTACCTATAAGCATTCTGTCTTACAATTATTTTTTAGAGCTAAAATTATACTAAAGTGATGTTTTGAGAAATAAAATAATATCTCGCAAATATTCTAGTAAATCATCTATATGGGATAAGAAGTCGCGCCATAACATAAGGTGCCTGGCATACTCTTGCAAAATGATTTAAATTATTGCATATAAAACACCTCTTTCCAAGGGCAATACATTCATCAAGTTCATTATGTTGTTGTCCACAACAATTTTGATTATATCGAAAACCATTGTTAGTCTGTTGTTTTTGTAAGTAAACTTTCTTTGCTTGTATGCATTCACGATTATCATAAACCGATATCAAAAACGTTAACTCCTCGATATTTAAAATTTTTAAGTCCATGATATCAATTCGCATCAAAACATATTTTGAAATTGTATTTAAGAAATTTATATTCTTTAAGTCGAAAATTAAATGCTCCTTTACTGCTTGTAGTGGACGTTGGCTGCCCCACTGATTCGCACGAACCTAAAACGAAAAAATATTCTATATCTACTTTAGAAAATTCGTTTTCGTTTTATTACAAGTCTTACCACTAATCTTTGTACGTAGTCTCCGATTTTTTCTCCTTGATTTCGCTTTATACCATTTAAGTAGAAAAATAAATCTAATTTTCTCAAGAGAATATAAAAATTGTGTCTTTGATTATTGTCAATACAGAAGTTTCTAATGATTTTTTGTCCGTATGAACCAATCGATTCTTCAAGTTTATACCCTAATTTATTGGGCAGTTCTGTTTCTATTTCATTTGCAATAATAGCTTGTAGATTTTCTTTCCAAGAAAGCCAAGTTTCCAAAGAGCAATTTAATGGTAATGGAGCAATGCTAAAGTATTCTTCATTACTACTTAATGTACAACCTGTTTATTTGACATAAATTAATTTTCACAATTATTACCTCAATAAGTGTTGTAATTGTAAACATTATAATTTTCCGATTCTGTATAAATTGTAATTACTTACCCATTTTTAGCACTTGTTAGTTAAGTTTACCTCCATTTATTATCAAACAAACCACAACAAAAACAACTTTTAATCATACACCATAAATACATGTAGATGGTAGACTCAATGTTTACAGTTGTGCTGCCATCTACTTTTTTGGACAAAAAAAAAAGATTCAACCTTAACTCTTGTTTTCATTAAATTCTTTTAGAACCACCTTTGTTATAAACTTTAAATTTCATAATTTCATAAACATTTTAATTTTAAGAGTAAAAGAAATTTTAAATAAATTAAAATTATAATTTATGAATATAGAAAGACACTTTGGGTTATAAAATAGAAAAGAAATAAAATAGTTGGAAAACTGCACAGAATATTTATTCGTCATCTTGTACAACTGTCGTTTTTTCCGAAACATATAAACCATCCAAGAACTTTCTGATATCCTTATTTTTGACTGTTGTCGATTGCTGGATCAAAGCAGCTGTAAAAGAATACATATAGTTAATAAAAACATACATTTTATTTTCCTGAAGAAATTAAATTCAATTTAAAGTATTTAAAAGCAAAATTAAAAAAGAAAGTGTTAAATTAGGAAATTCATTAAAAGCCATTAAAAGAAGTGTTGGGTGAATATTTTAAAAATCAAAGATTGAAATATCTTTTAAACTCACCTGATCTGGATACATCCTCTAAAGAGTTTCCTTCAAGAATTAACTCATCCTTTTGTTTGGCAGAATTACATACAGTAACACCAGGTGCCATCTTCACTCTACGGATGTATTTTTCACCCAAGAAATTACGAATTTCAATAACAGAATTGTTCTCGGTGGTTACACAATTAATGGGGAAATGAGCATATACAGATCTCATTTTGTATTGGTATCCCTTAGTTACACCCTTTAACATATTCTCGATGTGAGAACATACTGTGCGAACGGCAGCCAATTCTTTCTTAGTTCCAAACCATTTTTCAACTTTTAATACCTTAGGATTGACCATCTAGAAAAAAACAACAAATCTTTTATCCAATTATTCGAAACACTGGAAAATTATTAAATGCTAATTAAAGTTTATTAAAATCAGTAAAGGACTACTCATTTATAATTAAAATGAAGGGGAATCCACTATCTCATCATAAAAATTTTTTTATATCTTTTTATATCAAACTACTTTAAATTTAATTTTACTGAAATAAAAGATAACTTACACGAATATCCAAAGCGAGATGTTTGAAAGACCTCTTTAATACTCCTCGAGGTCCTTTGACTGTAATCATTCGAGATTTAACAGAAACTGTTAATCCCTCCGGGATTTTTACAGTCTGATTCGTAACAATCTGTTTCATCGTGTAATATCTGAAAATACATGATTTCGTTAATATAAATTTGTCTATTAATATAAATTAACATAAACTTAATATTAAAAATCTATTATTAATCAAATTGTTTCTTGATAAACACTACATAACCAAAACAATGTCAAAAATAACAGAAACACAACAAACAGTACAAAATAAAAATTCTAACTTTAAAAAATTGTTACACTTCTCTTATTAAACAATTGAATACTAATTGAAACAAAACAACAGTTTATAGTTCAATGAAAATTCAATGAAAACTAAGATTCGTGTAACAGAAAGACATGACAGCAGAAAGGTTAGAATTCTTTTTTAACACAAAAAAGTGAGAATTTGAAAAAAATAATCATCAGGAAACACAGAATATAAATAAGTGAAACATCCTTGAGGAAAAAAAGTGGAAAATCTAAATTCTTCACACGGATTAAAAGAAATTAAAAATTGACAATTATTCGTATACCTTTTACACGTTACGACCGAACAGGAAAAGGGATTGGGAAGACGACCATAGACTAAGGAAGATAGATTTTGAACTCGGTGGGTACGCCAATGTATTCATTTTCTATTAGCTCAATTTTACAATAATTATTAAGATTTCTTGAGAAATTTAAAAAAAGAAGGTAACATTTTCCAAATAGTTTTACATTAATAAATTTATTTCTTTTGTATTAAAAGATTTTAAATGTATTATGTATTTAACAAAATTACCCTTTTAAAAATCCCGCCAAAAGTAAAATACTTCCAAAATTTCAAAAAATGTTTGGTAATTTTCAAAGAATATTATTATTAATAATTATTATTAACAAATAGTAAAAAATACTGAATTTGAATTTTATTTACTTAATAAACTCGAATTTATCCTGTTGAAAATTAAAAAGAAAGTAATGTAACTTAAAAATCAGCCTTAAGATTATAGATGTCGCTGCAGTCGACTTAAAGAATCTATACTTGAATGTCATATCTAGTAAATTTATTGAGTTAATCTTTGAGATTTTAGAGAAAATAGATTTTTCAGATTTAAAAGACCTACATAATAATGGCATCAATTTGCGGTCGGCTTATTTTAAGAAATACACGTCGAGAATTTTCGACTAAAACACCATGTCTTTCTGGCTGGTTCTGGGGACCTAAGTATAGTAAATATTTTTTAATTTAATTTACTTTTAGTCCATCGTCAAAAGGGCTACATGTTACAAGTATTTTGTTTCAGTTTCTTATTACGTAATGAATTTTAATGTTTTTTCATTATTTTACAAAATATTTATCTATGGTGTTTCAATTTATTAATTGCACATATATTTTTCTTTAGTGCCTGATCCTGTTGAACACGCCCAGGGATTGGAAAAGAAAGAATTGCTGGCCCATTTATCCGGCAACGATGTGAGTTTTTTGGAGTAAAAAAAATATTTCGTACAATTGATAACTTTCTTATTATTTTAAGAAAAAGATAAAAAAAAAACATTTTCGTTTTATTTTTGTTTTTACTAAATTCTTTTCTGGTAATACTTTATTGATTATTTTTCTGAATGATTTGCAGTACAATATTTTCTGAAAATAACAAAAGTCAGGCCTTGGATATTTTGACTTTTTCGACTTTTTTTACTATTTTCCAAAAATGCGACTTTTTTCAACTTATTTTAAAAAATTGCGACTTTTTCGACTTTTCTTCCAAATATTGCAACAAAATACCCCATTTTTAGTATATAAATACAAATTATTTTAATTTTTCTAATGTGAAAAATAAATATAGACAAATCTTTCAAAAATTATTATTGAATAATTTTTCTAATTAAATTTTCAAAATATACAATTAAAGAGATTTAAAATAATTAAAATTTTGTAAAATTTAATTGAAAACAATTGATTTTTTCAAGTATTATTATTATTATTACAATTTTTTAAAATGAACTTTTGAAGAAATTTAATTGCAAATTTTGTGAAAAAAATGAAATGAAAAATCTTCAAGTTTAAATTTATGAAAATGAAAATTAATGAATACTAGCTTCTAAAAAATAACATTAACATTGTTTTTAAAAAAATAATTCTTAGAATTGTTTTATCATAATTTTTTAAGATTTACTTGTCTACGAACAAAGTAAATTAAATTTTGTTATATTCACTTCTTTAGATTCTTATTAAAAGTTCGGAAAAATCATGTTTTTATTTATAATTAAAATTCTTCAAAAATTTGATTATTTATTTTTCAAATATTCAATTAATTTTTAAAGATTTTGTAAAATTTCAATTATCTTTAAATGATTTTACCAAAATTCAATTGTTTTAAAAAGATTTGATCAAATTTCAATTATTTTTAAAAGATTTTACCAAAATTCAATTTATTGTTTGGAAATTTTTTAATTGTATAATATACCTATGATTGAAAGACATCTTTAAAAATATTTTTTAAAAATTAATTTTAAGAGTTTCTTTTTTTCATTTTTTAAAAAATTTTATACCTTAATAACTTTAAAAAAACATGGACAATAATTACAGTTACAAGATAAAATTTTTAGTTGCAACACTGAATGTGTTTTGTGTCTTAAAGTCGATCTAAAGCCTGAAAAGTAACTACATTATATTATAATGTTAGTTTTTAAATTCTATGTTAATTATTATGTATTATTTCAGGATCCTTTCATGTCGAAAGCCCTAATAAGACACGATAATTCTAAGGATCGTCCAATTATGGTTCCAAGTGCTTTTGATAGTCGTATGATCGGATGTATTTGTGAAGAAGATCAAACTTACATTTGTTGGATGTGGTTGCATGCAGGAAATCCAAGACGTTGTGAATGTGGACATTGGTTTAAATTACAAAAGAAAACACCAATTACAGCTGATTAAAATTGATAAGATAGTAGATCGCTTAAAAATTCATCTTGAATTTAGTTCAACTTTATTTACGTATTCAAATCAAAAAATATTAATAAGTCAATAAGTCCTGATGTGAATGTAGTAAGTAAAGTTAAACTTTATTTTTGAATCAAGTTGCATTATCTTTATTCCAACCGTACGGTTGAAAAAACAAAGAAAATAAAGTTACTCATCGTTAATAGTAATGTATATAATTTTTCCTATAAATAAAACCAATCGAAGGATAATTTAGATATTAGTTGTATTTTTTTATTTTGTATTCATTACATATTTGTTTGTTTTGTTATAAGTACTTATTTTACAAAAAGGTACAAATTCGGTTTTATCTATTTAGAAACGAGGCACGTTTTTAAAGTAATTAAATAAAATTAAAAACTTAACCTCAGTTTATTTTATGAGTACATTACATTGATTATAGTTTTACGATTACTTGTGATCCTTGTAATTTATAGGAATGTACTGAATATTACAGAAAATTTAAAAATGACACGTGTCTGAAAATATCTGAAATACGGTTTAGTTAGGAATTTTCAATATCTAGCTACCAAATTACAGTAAAAAAGCTATTTTCTTACAACTTCGGAAAAAAATTCTCTTTAATTTTTTTTAAACCCAAAATATAATAATAAATTATAAAATACATAAATTAAATCAATTTCACAGATTCGGGATAAAATACCATCAGTCGTTCTTTTTTTCTTTAAAGCTTTTGTTGGCCTATTCGTTCTTCAGTAATCTAAACATTGGTGTATTTACAAATTCTTTGCCATTTAATTATTGTTAGAAAATCTCGTCATTGGTATCTTGACATTCTTTATTACTGGATCTTTCTTTATATGCTTCTTCGAGATTGTACTTAAAATTTGTTTCTTTGGAAGTAACTTTTGAATTTGTCGAATTTTCTTCGGGTATAGATTGATTTATGTTGGAATTTGTTTCTGTTTTCTTTTTCAATTGTCCTACTATCGTTACATACGACGAAGGAATTAAACCGACGTTGATACTGTCAGTTGCCTTCCACCATCCTGGTAAAGCTTTTGGATGTAGAGATTGTGGAGCAAGCCAGAGTTTTTGTCCAGTCTTGAAACTTAATTCATCATTCGATGCAGCGACAAAATCATATAAAGTTGTTGCTATATAAATGGGTTCGTTATATTTTACCCAATCTTTCGGATTATTTTCTGTAAAAGAAATCATCATTGAGTAAATTTTAATTCACTTTTTCCAAACTGGATCGAAATACCAGACTTCGCACTCGATAATTAATTTTTAAAAAGTAGCAAGCAGTAGCTTTCAAACTAAAAAAAGTAGCTATCGAAAAATTAAACTTGACGACTAAAAAAGCTCGTTTTAGACGTTTTAGACACTTCAACGAAATTTTAAAAGTTTCATTCTATATTTTATTTTCTTGACTTTTTTCTAATTTTGATCAAAAATATTTACTTCTTTCTTATCCTACTAATAAATTGAATTCCTGCAACGAATTTTATTAATCATGAAAGAATTTAAATTTTTATAAAAATAATTTAATTCTTGCGAAGAATTTTACAAAAAAAATTTTAACAATTGATTTCTTTCGACTAATTTTATCCAAATTCTAATTTAAATAATTGAATTCTGTTTGGAAATTTTATGAAAATAAATAGTTTTTAAAAATAATCAAATTTTACAAAGAATTCTATTAAAATTTTTGAGAATAATTGAATTATTTTCAAAAAATTTAATTATAAAATTGTATTTAAATTAATTGATTTCTTTCAAACAATTTTATTAAAATATTTGAAAATAATTGAATTCCTGTGAAAAATTCTAATATCTTTTTGTAAATAATTGAATTCTTCCAAAGAATTCTAAAAAAACATTTTTTTAAATAATTGATTTTTTCGAGGAATCGAAATTAAATTTTTAAGAATAATTACATTTTTCGATCAATTCCTGTAAAATTGTATTAAAAATAATTGAAATCCTGCGATGAATTTTATTATTTTTATGCGAAAAAAATTGAATAGTTCGAAAGAATTTTATTAAAATTTTCAAAAATAATTTAATTCTTGAGAAAAATTTTACTATTTTATTAAAATAATAATTGAATTTTTGCGAAAAATTTTATTAAAATGTTTGAAAAGAATTGAAATTTTGTGAAAATTTTTTATTTTTTTTTAATCTTATGTACGAGTTTTATAAACATTGTTTTAAATAATTAATTTTGGAGAAAAATAAATATTATGAAAATTTTATTTTAAATAATTGAATTTTTCGATTAATTAATTTAAAATGATATTAAAAATAATTTAAATTAAGTTTTATTATTTATGAAAATAATTGAATTATTGTTTAGAATTTTATCGAAAATTGTTTTAAAAAATTGGATTTCCATGAAAAATGTTATTAAATTAGTGAAAGTAATTAAATTATTGTGAACGATTGTTGAAAAATTTTGTTAAATAATTGATTTTTTCTAAATTTTTTTGAAAATGCTATTCTAAATTAATTGAATTCCTGTGGAAATTTTATTATTTATGAAAATTATATATCAATTTTATAAATTATAAATTATATATTCTACGATCTTTTTCTACATTCCAAGTAGAATGGTATAATGGTTTTCCAACCGTGGGCTTGATAATTTTGCAAATAAAAAAAAGAATTATTGAATTTTGGGTGAATTTTATCATTTTTTTCAAATAATTGGATTCTTTTGTAAAGTTTTATGAAAATACTGGATATTGAAAATAATTGAATCGTTTTAAAGAATTTGATTATAATTTTTGAGAATAGTTTCTTGATTTCTGGTATTAGCGAATTTAAAGTAGTGGAAATTCTCAAAAGAAAAAATAGAAATAGTAGCTTTTAGTGACTGAAATCTAAAAAAAGTTTCCAAATAGTAGTTTAACGTAAAAAAGTATTAAATAGTAGGTTTTAGTAGATGAGTGCGAAGCCCGAAATACGTAACTATTTTGAATTTACCTTCGATACTTGTACTCTTAACATTATTGACTAATTTATGAACCATATAAGGAGCTGCGACTAGTAAACTTAGGAACATGAAAATTGGCCAAGTAGAAGGACCATTTTGAGAAACGGTCTCATTCATTACTTCGGATACAGTTTGTTGCCAAGCTGATTCACTGCTGGGGTCATGGCCCCTCAAACCTAAATAAAACGAGTTTTGAATTATTTTTCAACTCAATATGAAAACAACTGATAAGGGGTTTGTAAACATACCGAGCAAGTGTCGTGTTTTCCAGTACAACCACTTCAGAATCCTCACTAATGCAAAACTGTTCAAAAACTGTCCAAATATTAATCGTAATCTACCCATGTTTTCAGCAACGCCCAAGATTGCTCTAAAGGAGCTGGTCATCGCAAAAAATGTCGATTCCAACATCATTGTAACGGATGAAAAAGTGTGAACCATAGTCTCTATTGATTGAAAAGCAGGCCTTGTGCTTTCTTCCGCATATTGTACAAACCTTAAAGACAATTGACTCACAATTGATTGTATGACAAAATAAATGACTTACTTTAATAAAATAATTATCATAAGTAATTCTTTTTTAATCACCTGTTTTCAACGTCACCACTGGGTCCTCCAAACTGTCCATTACCGTATGGAGAATATCCATAACTCCCATATCTTCCATTATGCATCCCATAGGATCCATAGCCACCATAACCTCCATATCCACTGTAATTTAAACTACTCCCCATTCCATAATTTCCAAAATAATTGCCTAATCCTGGATAATTATTATAATTTTGATACGATGACACTGACCGGCGGGGAGGTAGAGGCGGTGGAATTGTATTTGGAACACCTGATCCAACAATTTGGGGACCGGAGCCACTACAATTAGTCAATTAATGAAAATTGAAATTATTTTCAATTTTTTTTTTTTTTTTTTTTTTCAATTATTTTCAATTATTTTATTGAGATTAAAAAATAATACAAAAATTATAGTAACAAGAGATAAATACCTTGCTAAAATGGAGGTAGAATTTCTTAAATTATTCGAATTAATTATATTTGGTCGTTGTTGATTCATTTTTTACACACATTAAATTCACAGGATGAAATTGCACAATTTAATTGTTGGAAAACAATTACAGCTGCAATTTAAAACGAACTATTTACTTTTTAAAGCTATTATCTATAACGGTTCAAAGGTCAATTCTGTTTTTTATAATAATTTATGACATTTCTTACGGATATTACTGCAAAAATTTATGAGTAGAACTGTCAAAAATAAAGCAGACGATTTTTCTTTTCTTTTGAAGCTGCACTCTGATTTGTTAACTTTGTGGAATGGAATTAGGTTAAGTTTTTTTTTATGTTTTAAACGAAAGTCTATAAATTTTAATATTAAAATAAAAAAGTATGCACTGAAAAGTAAATTGGATAATTTTCTGCTTGTTTTTCTGTTAATTAAAATGGAAAAATAGAAGTAAATCTGTAAATCCAGTTGTTTAATTATTAATTTGACTGAAGCAGTAGTAATTCGCGCGGCATTTTTAAACATAATTTCTGATTTTGTTATACATTTTTTTAATTTCTTTATTTTTATTTTAAGTTAATTGCCAATTTCTTATAGACATACTTAAAAATGTTAATTAAAATATTCTATCATAAAATAAGTTTCTGTATTTTTTCTCTTTCTCTCTCTCTACATTTTTTTCAAAATAACTTTATACAAAAATATTTAATCTTTTAATTAGTTTAACATTAAATAACGGAAGAAAACAAATTATAATAATTTAGTTTACTGTAAAGTGTAAAATGTGTAAAATTAACATGTATTAACATGATTAACATATTATTATCATTTTTATCTACTTGACGTTTGCGACAGATGGCGCTTTCTGAAAACGAAGCGCTTGTTAATCGAATAGCATTTTTGGATGAAAGACAAAATATTTTTGTGTGCTACTGTTTGTTTGTCGGAAATAGTTTAATTGTTTAACAGTTCACTTAACGATTGAATTGATTGTTGAATAATATTATCAAACAACATTATTAAAGGACTACAGCGAAGGAAGCTTATAAATTTCCTCCGCCTAGCATCGTTTTTGTTCTCCTGAAAATACTTGGTAAGTTTTTTAGAATATCCTGTGTATGTAAGTGCTGTAAAGTCAATTAATTTTTAACTTTTTAAAATAATATTTCTTTAAAATGTACAAAAATCGGTTCATTATATTTGGTCTTGTATTTAAAGAAATTTAATGTTGCCTTGAAAATAATTTATGTCAAATTTGTGTTTTTTATAATTAAAAACCTATTTATATATGAGTACTACATACATATCTCGAGAAATATTCCAAATTTTATTTTTATACACAGATTGCATATATATTCCATTTACGCAATGGATAAAATATTGTTTACGAACAAAATTTTTAGAAAACAAATTTTTACATTCTCATTTTTTTAATAGAAATTGCGTAAATTTTGATGTTGTAATCTTTTATTGTCATTAAAATAGTTTTTATCCATAGTCATCAATAACAAAAGATGTGGTAAAAACTATGACTAAATGAACTTTTTTTATTGTTACGTTTTCTTCTATTTATTCTCCTTCTTTGTTTTTGACACTTTTAAAATTTATTTTCTAGTTGACTTTTAATATCGTTTTTCAAAGTTTAAAAAAATATAATTTTATTTTGAAGAATTGCATTTTTTAATTGATGCGGAATGCGGATTAATTGAATTATAATAATAATTGTTAAAGTCTTAAGAATGCTGAATTAAAAATTAGTTCTTCATACCTGGTTTATGATTCATGTTAGGTATTTCAATAATGGAAGGAGGAGGTGTGTTGACCGCGGAACGTAGTCCTGCCCGCGCTAATTTACATGTTGCTTTTACTGAGAAAGGGGAAGTAAAAGAGCGTCGAGAAAAATTTCTCACGGCAAAGTATGGTTCTCATCAAATGTCTCTTATTAGAAAGAGGTTGGCTGTAGAAATGTGGTTGTTTGATGAGCTTCAAAAACTTTACGAAACTGTGGTAAGAAAAATTTTTTATTAAAATTTGTAGAAGATAATTTTTCACCAATCCAGTGCAATTAAAAATAAAATTATAATTCGTTGCACTTTGTGATGTAAATGGAAATAAAGAAAAGATTTTCTGAAAAATTTACAGAACGACACGGGAAAGAGTCGAGAAGTCGAAGTCGATATTGATGAACTTCTTGATATGGATAGTGATGATCATAGACGAAGTTTTTTACAGGTTTGTTTAATGCTTTCTTATTAATAACTTTGTATACAAAATATTTTTTTATACACGAAATTCAATTAAAAATATTCTTCTAGGAACTTCTTGTTGATGCAAAGAAACCACCTCATGATGTTAAAGTAAGTTTTCTCAATATTTTCAGGCCTCGGATATTATGACATTTTCGACTTTTTTCGACTATTTTACAAAAATGCGAGTTTTTCGACTTTTGTTCCAAATATTGCAACAAAATACCACATTTTTAGTATAAATTGCAAATTATTTCGATTTTGTGAAATTATTGAATTCTCAAGAAACATCTTCAAGTGTTAAATTTATGAAAATGAAAATTAATGAAAACTAGCTTCTAAAAATAATATTAAATTTTTTTATTATAAATTTCTAAAATTCAATTATTTTCAATATTTTCAAAAATATAATTCCGAAAATTCAAATACATAGGTACATACAAAAAATAATACAAATATTAAAATTTTTCAGACTTTTTTTTAACATTTTCGAGAAAACAATCGTTATGAAAATTTTTAATTAAAATTCTTCAAAAAATTACTTAGTTTTTTTTTAAATTATACAAAAATTCTTTTAAGAAATTCAATTAATTTCGAAAGATTACTAGAATATTTTTAAGAAACTAATTCTTAGAATTGTTTTATTATAATTTTTTAAGATTTACTTATCTACGAACAAAGTAAATTACATTTTTTTTTAAATTTACTTCTTTAGATTCTTATTAAAAGTTCGGAAAAATCATGTTTATTTTTATAATTAAAATTCTTCAAAAATTACAAGATAAAATTTTTAAATTTACTTCTTTAGATTCTTATTAAAAGTTCGGAAAAATCATGTTTATATTTATATAATTAAAATTCTTCAAAAACTACAAGACAAAATTTTTGGTTGCAACACTGAATTAAAGAAACGACTATTCCGACTTTTTTTGTATCTTTAATCGACTAAAGCGACTTTTTTTTTGTCTTAAAGTCAATCCGAGCCCTGTATTTTGAACTTTAATTTCTAATCTGATTTTTTTCGTTTGTAATTTTAGAAATTCATCAACGATTTGTTGGAGAAGGCAAAAACTCTGTGAGGAGTTGACATTGACTACGGGGTGTATCTTTATAACGAATTTCAAAATTTACGCATGTTCCAAATGCCAAGGCCTTTCAAACAAGTTTCGGATTTCTACTTAAAAAAAAAAGAATGGACCTTCTGGAAGTCAGTAATCCTTAATTTTAATTTTAATCTTAATCCGAAATATGAATATCAGTATATAATTTGACAAAGTTTGTATTGAATTGTTTCATATTGAAAACAAAGGTCAGTACTTGTGGTGAACCATCGAAATATTTAGTGATGATTTTTAGATATAATTTTTGTGCGCATCGCACAATACACACCGCAGCTACTAGTAGAGAAAAACTGCCTAATCGCTGAACTTGAAAAGTGAATTTTTGTAGAATAGTAGACTGTCATTTAGGGAGAAATTAAGGCCAGTAACCCCAAGAAACGATTTTGTTTTCACTTTGGAAAAAAGATCGCCTTTCGTCTAACAAATATAAAATGTGTACTTGAGATTAAATACTATTTATGTAATTATTCTCGACACATTCTTGCCAATTCGTTATAATAGAAGGTACAAAAGTCATGACGAACAAAAGAAGTTAGTTTTAATTCGTACACTATCATATTAAGTGTTCTCTTAGGTACGTTAATGAATCAAAACTAGTTTTTGACAAGTAAATTTAATTTACTTTAGTGGCACTTTAGTTTTTTTATTCATTATTCTCAAGACAGTCGTTCTATTTTATTTTAGTAAACACCGTCATCGAATATTAGTTACTTCCAGATTCTTAGATAATTCAGTGCGAATGAAGTGCCAAATAGCTCATATTTATCGTGCAACAAAACACCAGATTTTTAGACTGTCTCATCAAAAAAAAAGAATTTTATTACTAGATTCTTAGAATTGTCATTATCTTATATCATTTTCATATCATCCAAATATGTAAATTTATATGGTGTTGAAATTTTAAACCGTCGCCGCATTCCCGAAGAAAAGATCTCAAAGGTTTTGAACCGATTTTTTTTATGGTACTTAAATTTTACTAAAATTGGTACTAACCGAAAATCGATTATATTTCATGAAAGTAATTTTAGCAAGATTGTCATGAAACGTAAGACTTTTAAAGCCGTCCGATTTTCAAATACTCAACATTTTTCTTTCTTTATAAATTTTCTTTAAATTTCTTTAATTATTCTCGTTCGAATTAAGATTTAAGGAACTTTGTTTTTAAAGTGATTGCATTTGAATGATTCTCTGATAGTAGTTTTATTTTTGAGATTGCAATAGTTGTCCTTAAAGCCTTTGTAGATCTTTATTTTCTAGATGAAAGAAGTCATTCCTGAAATTAAATCACATATCTTGATTACAGCACACCATATCTGGGTCTTGAGAAAAAAAATAAAAAAATAGATTAGGTGACTCGTTGTATTTCGGCTTCGGTAGCTAAGAAAATTTCTGGTGCTGTTCCCTTTTATTAGGAACACAGCTGAATCAAGTGTTCGAATATCTTTATACTATTTGTTGATAGTTTTCATTAGTTTATTACAGATTGAATGTTTTAAAAATTCTATTTAAGCCCCTTGTTAATTGCAATTTTTAGGAGACAGTGTTTTATGATCTCTTTAAGAGAGTAATTTTTTCTTTTATTTTGGGAAATGATCCTGATTGAACCCAGTAGTGACCTAGTTCATTTTTCTTCGTATTAGGTAAGAAATAATTAATCTCGAATCAGCGTGAGCTTTGAAATTTTTTATTTAAACAGCTTTGCATTTTAAAAAGGCATTAAATACGTTTTTTGTCATTAGATGTGTGTGCGTGTGTCTTTTCTTTTTAGAAAATTAATTTTCTATTGACTTTTATCTCTTAAAAATTAGAAAGTAACATAAATTCATGTAATGAATCAAAATGTCGTTAAAATTTTGCACAGCTTATCCAAAGTAACATTTAATTGTTATAAATTTAATCAAAGTGTTACACTAAATTATTTAGTCATCTTTTAAATTACAAAGTCTAAAGATTTTGTAATCTGTTTTAAAAAGTTAAGAGAATTTTAGTGTTATGAAAAAAGAAGGTTTTTAACGAACAAAAACAATGGAACAATCCAAAGAACATTTTTATATTTTAGAAAAATCCAAACACGCTTCCTTTTCTATAAGATGTATTTTTATTTCTTGCATGAACTCCATGCATTTTTTTGCATTTATTATTTTATATAATGTTAGGTATAGGAAATTGACAAAATTGAAATTTTACAATTAGATGAAAAATTGTCAACAACGATTAGAAAAATTTATAGAATATGGTGCTGTTTTCTTTGTCATTTTCCTATTTCAACGACTGTGCATTTATATTATAATATTTAACTTAAATTATGTTTGGGCATTATTATATGTATACACTCTATATAGTAGAATTTTTAACAGTATATTAATGAGCAAGAATTTACCCAAAAAAATATTCCATTAAAGAAAATGACTTTGCATTGAAATTATTTTTCCAAAAATTAATTTCAATCTGCCTAATTATGTCAATATTGCAAAAATTAAATTTTATGGTAATATTCTTTGCTGCGTTCTACGAACATAATTTAAAAAAAAAATTTTTTCTCTTGTGTAGAAATTTAAAAATGTACACAAAGACTTGAAAAACAATCGATATTTACAGACTATTTAATTTTGAAAATATTTTCATACTTTGTACACAGCTTTTTAAACTAAGCGACACGTTAATTGCCATTTTAAACAATTTTAAAAAAACAATGCAAAATTTAACCGCCGAGAACTGTTTTTCTTGCTATTTCCATTATTGAATTAAGAAATTTTAGAATTAAAATTAACGTAGAAGTAAAATTCTTTAACTGTGAAATTTAAAGACTTGCTTAAAAAATATTTTACATTACAGAAAGAAAAAAAATAGAAAACAAAAGACATTTGATATTAACACACGGAGCTGCTCAATTATAGATTAAGAATAAAATTATAGAAATAAGAAATAATTCTTGGCAGTTAACGTGTATTAATCTCATATTTAATCGTTGCTCAAAAAAAAAAATAAATAAACCGATACGAAATAAAAATAATTTTGTGAAAATGAAATTGTCACCGTGTTTCTGTGTTTACAAATTAATAATATTTTTTAATTGTAAGCTCAGGGAAATTCAGCCTGATGTACTTTCTTTTGCAAGGAAACAATTTCCGCTTTTATTATATATATACTTCCCGACTGGTTGTGTGGTAAAATATAATTTTTCATGTAACAATCATCGCCTGGCACACTATATCTTGAAAATTATGGGAAAAAGAGCACATAAGTTTCATCAGCTTCATTTATACACTCATGCCTTAAAAATATCGCATACATTATAAATATCTAATCGAAAATAGTGAGTTCAAAAAAAGTGAATAACTGCAATACTTTAGAATTTTTCAGAAAATTCTATAATAATATAATATTTACGAATAATCGACGAGGACTTGAATTTTTGTTTCTCGAGCAAATAAAGATAATATTTCGCACAAAAAAGGCTCGACACTTCCCTCGTTGATTTTCTAATTAGATTTACAACAAATATGATTGTGCTGTGATATAAAAAATCCGAGTCTTTTGGCGATTACTTATATGAGTTCATGAAAAAAGCTAAAATATTGCATAAAATTAAAAATAAATAATACTAATAAGTGTACTAAAAAGTTGATAAAAAAAAGTAGAATGTAAAGTAAAACATTGCAAACGTATATTTACTTTGATAGGCAGTATGACTAGTGGTGAACAAGTCGTATTTTCTGATTTTTATACATGTGTGTATGCCTGTGAAATATATTTAAAAAAATTTTCGAATGAATAGTACGGATATATCACGGTAACAAAGTCCATTTTTTATTTCTTGACTGCAAAAAAAGAAAAAAAAACAAAGTTGCTCTTATTTTCACAATTTTATTATTGAACTGAACTCAATTGAGGTGTAATCAACGAAATGTTTATATTATTTCCATTTTATGCGAAATTAATAGTTGCAATATACATATACGAATAAACAAAAGAAACTGAAATTTTATTTTTCCTCATTTTTCCTTGACTTTTTGACAACTATATCGGGGAAAATCTAGTATATTTTTTGTTTTGTACGGCAGTTTATATAATTAAAATAAAATTACCCTTTTCCAATCGGCTACTAAACTTCATCACATATTTATTGCTTTTGAAATTTTAATTATAACAATAACAAGAAGTTTGAATTATTATTAATTATTAATATAATTGTGAGCTGATGTTTACAGTCCTAACTTAAAATGACTAAACACTTTTGGCGGGCGTGGTCTTTAAATTTTTTTAAAAACTTGTCCAATTTCCCCTCATCCTTATTTTTAATTGGTCCATATTAAAGATTAAAATTCTAACCTATACTGACCTTACAACAATTACAATTTTACAATCTGCGTTATGTTTTGACTTTGTCTTTAAAAATTTAACAATTTATTTAAAAGTTTGTTGTTAAAATTAATGAGAAACTTGTTCTAATCGTCAAATAATCATGTCTGAGGATGAAAGAACAATTTGGTTGGGGAATTTAAATAGTGAAAAAGTTACAGAAGATGTTCTGTATGAGCTATTTTTACAGGTAATTAGTTCGACAATTTTTCGTTACTTTGATTATTTTACAACTTTTTCAACTTTTCAGTTATTTATGAATTATTTTTAAACATCTTCTATGAGCGTATATTCAAAAATAAACAGTAAACCTAGTATTTTTGGTACTAAAAATGTAGTTTCGTTTAAAAAATACAGTTTTTAACATAACCTTAAAAAATATTTCATTTCTCACAATAGTTTATTGTTTGCTTATAATAAATTTTAAGGGGGAAGGAGCGGTTGTAAAATCCCATTGAAATATGCCTTTTTTTTAGGTACCATTTTCTCAGCTCCAAATGATTATTTTTCATCAAACACTTTTTCTGCTGATTTTATATACAAAGGAGTAAAATCTGATCTTTCGATAAAGCCAAATTTTTATTTTTGAATTTGCTGTGCCATTTTGAAAAAATAATTACCACTCTCCCGAAAAATCACATTTTTCCACGGTACCATTTTCTAGAATACAATTCTTCTTTTTTTTAATACTTGTACATTAATGGACTGTAATCTGATCGTTCGGTTTTAGAAATAAATTAGTTTATTTAAAGTTATTTGAATATTTAACAAAAAAAACCAAGAAAACGAGTAATTATTTTTCAAAATGACACAGAAAATTCAAAAATAAAAGTTTGTCTATCGAACGACCAGATTTTACTCTTTTCAGAAAAAAAGTTTGTTGAAAAATAATCATTTAGAGCTCTGAGAAAATAGTACCAAAAAATAGGTACATTTCAATGGGATTTTACAACTGCTCTTTTCCCCTTAAACTAACTTATGATGATAAAAAAATTAAAAAGATATATTTTCGTTAAACTAAACAAAAATCTTTTTTTTAAATTAAAATATTATGAACAATTCTTTTTAGGCTGGGCCACTAGACAGAATTCATATTCCAAAGGATCGTGAGGGAAAGCAGCGAAATTTTGCGTTTGTAACATATAAACATCTGGTTTCAGTACCTTATGCTGTAACATTATTCGATGGAACAATGCTATTCAACAGACAAGTTTATATGAAAGCGAGAAGTAATGAAGCGCAACCAAATACTAATTCCGCTGAACAAAATCATCATTATCAAAATGAATTAATTCAACTTGGAAATCAAATGCTTCAATGTATACCAAATCCATCATTAGTTTACGGGAATTTTCCTAGTCCGCCAATGTTAATGCAGCAGCCGAATCAATTTATCCCTCAACAATTCTATTACAATGAGGAAAGAAGATCTCAACAAAATTATGCACATCCTTATCAGCGGGAGCCGGAGAGAAATAAAGGCCGATACAACAACGATCCTGGACACGAGAAAAGAAGAGACAACTATTCTTCGTCCCACAGAAATAATTATAGAGAAAATCCTCATTATTCTCAAAGACATGGTGGAAATCGACATGAAAATAGCAGTCGAGAAAGTAATAATCGTCAAGAAAGTAGTAGTCGACACGATAGAAGGTATTACAGATCTTAAATTACATGATTCAATAATACTTCTACATTTTCTATAATTTGATTTAAAAATTTGCAAACGTTTCTCAAATCTTACTAGATTTAAATTTCTCATTTTAAATTGCAAGAAATTTTTGTTCATTTTTGCAATAGTTATTAAGTTAATATATTCATTGAAATTCATTGTCTTGAAATTAGTTTATTAGTAAGAAAGAAAGATATTTAACAATTTTTTTACTACGTTTTTTAAACTTTAAATGTAAAGCTCGTCACAATGTTTCTTGTATATTTGTTTCAAAAGATAGGAACAAGACAATAGTTTGAGAATTCTCTTCAACAAATTTTATATTTCTATCTTGAAAACTAAATATATATAAATTTTGGAAATTAAAATATATATCTATTTTCCTTTTTTTGGTAATCATTGTTAAATATTTCTGCACTTGTTGGAAAATTGTAAAAAAGAATTTGCTCGATTTAATATGTAAGACTTGCTGTGCAAAAAGCAATTGTCAATAAAAGAAAATTATTTTTCATTAAAATTGACGTGGAAGATTTTTGAATACAAAAATACGGACAATCGGGATTACATTCAAAGAGTCGTTCCCATAAATCGTGTTGTTCGGTAGGTTTGATGCTGTGCAAACTTATGCTTCTTTGAAGTTCGCAAACACTAAAGGAAATTCGATTATTGACAAATTCCTGTCTGTCTATTCTTTTAATTCCCAATTTCTCGGCTACGATACCAGTTACAAAGACGTCTTCTAATTTCAAAAATGGTGTATTCAATGATTCTTTATGTAGCCGATGGACTGAATTTCCAGACAGTAAGTAAGCTGGTCCAGTGACAAAAGGTGGATACTCGGAGAATTTATATTGAATAATTGGAACGTAATATTTATTCTCTTTGTTTCTGTGCGGTTTTGTGTGTGGTGATATTTTGCCAAAAATCACATTATTCAATTTTAATCGTAAGCGCACAAATGTTAAGAGTCGGGGCATATTCAAGAAAACATCGTCGTCAGTTTTCAGAACGAAATTCACATTGAAGCAGTATCTGTCAACCCATTCGAGAATGGAAATTGTTTTCAGTGTCAGGTTAGTATAACTATCGTAGACATTACATCGTACAATGTCATCGAAAATTTTCTGCTCGTGAGCGAGTTTTATTTCGAGGTAAGGATCACTCGTTGAACCCAAGAAGAATAATATTATCACGTCCTTTCTCTTTCCGAATATTCCCCACGTTTCTCGAATTGCTTTTCTAGCCAAATAATGCCAAGGATCTGATAAAATCGGTATGAGGAGTTTTACTTTTGTCCCGTGATTCAAACATTTGTGGGAAAGAGACACAAAATGACCGGATTCGTAAATTTCACTAACGTTTACAACTAGTTTTCTGTCCTTATATTTCTCTTCCTCGGTGTCTTTTACTTGAATATCTCTTGATTCTATAGCTAAATGATTTATTACTTCCTTTTTATCATTGTTGTTTGTGATAAAAAGCTGAGTCTCTTTCTCCTTTTTACTCGAATCTATTGTTTTTACAGTAATTAAATTTTCGAAAATGACCAAAATTAAGAAATATTGTATAAAATGATGAAATTTTAACATTTTTTTGTAAAGTTCGACCTTGAAGTGTATACATAGCGATAGATGTTTATGTCGGTAGACAGCATTTCAGTAATTAAAATATTTATTTCAAAAAATAGAATTCGCACAAAAATATTTCTTTGTAACTAGACATTTTTTTCTATACACTCTTAATATTTATAAACTTGATTCGAAACTATATAAACACTGGTAACAAAAAATGACAAACAAAATGACAAAATAACAAAAAAAAAACAGGTTAGAAAACAAATCACGATCGTAAAAAAAATATATTCCTGACGTAACATTTAGCGAACAATTGATTTGATTTCTTCCTTTTTCTTTGTTGAAATAGTTGAGCAGCTTTTTCAGCAAGCATCACAACAGCTGCGTTAATATTTCCACTGGGCAGAATTGGAAATACAGAAGCGTCGACAACAAACAAGTTTGATGTATTATAAATCCTGTAAAAAATATTAAATATTTAATTTTTTAACTAGCTAAAAAATTGTTCTTTTCAATATTTCATTAGAAAAAGCGAATTACCTGAACGATTCATCAACTACCGATCCCATGCGAGAAGTTCCTGCGGGATGATAGGAAGTCAATGTCAAATGACGAACATAACATTCCCAATATTCGTTACTATCGAAAGTTCTCTCTTCACATCCAGGAAAAGGTTTTCGATAAAGATGCGCTCCCAACATTTTCATGGCTTCTGTCTCCAACAATTGTTTCACAAACAAAATACCTAAAAATTGAATTTTCAAATCTCATTCAATTATTTAATTTTCATCGGATTAAAAAATCCAATGAATTTAAAGACTTAAATTTGTTTTCCCATGAGGAAGCTTTGTATTAATTATATTTTATTAATTATTATTTACCTTCTATTAAAATTTCAACATCTTCTTTATTCGACAAATATTTAGGATTAATGATAGGTGATTCTCGAGGATTTTTACTATTGAGTTTAATTTCTCCCAAGCTTTTTGGATGCAATAAAACTGGAGCTAAAGTAACTACATTTTTGTACGTGAGGGGTGCAAAATATTCTTGAAATACCTACAGATTCAGGGCAATAAATAGAAGAAATTTTGGATTTTAACTTAAATCAAATTTAAATCTAATCTAATTTTTTAAGAAAAAAAATTAGTAATAACTAATTTGCTTTCAATTGTTAAAATACAGACCTTATCTGAAATTCCCATTGCCTTTCGCCAGCTAAATCCATTGTCTTGTGAAATTCCAATAGGCATCACCATTAATTCTAAATCAGGTGCTGCGGATTTATTTTGTAAAGAACTGTGAAATGTGCCTATCACATCAATTCCGTTGAAACTCCATAGGCCTAAAGTGTTAAAATTGAGAGAAAATAATTGTCGTATGTTTAAAGACTTTTTTTCAATTTTATCGCTATTCAGTAAGATATATTTAATGACAAAATCAATTCAATTATTTGTAAATGCAATTTTTAAAAACCTTTTTTATGAAAGAAATATTGAAAGGCTGATAAAGGACTTAAGACATCAATAATGCTGACAGGTTGACTAGAGTTAAGTATCACTAAATCCAAACCAGTTATTATGTGATCCATTAAATTTTGACCCACTGGCAGGTCAGATACAACGTCGATCTGATAGACAAATTATGAATTATTTTAACAAAACTTTCAGTCAATTACTTCTTTTATTTATTATTATTATTTTTTTTATTATTATTAAATATATTAATGCCCCTTATAAAAAGAAAATTATATTAAATTCCTTACCTTCAAATCATCTAAATGGCTTTTTGGTCCAACACCAGAAAGCATTAAAATTTTCGGAGTACCAATTGCTCCAGCACTTAAAATAACTCCCTTTTTCGCAAATACTTTGTACATTTTACCGAATTTCAAAAATTCAACTCCTACTGCTTTCTTTGATTGAAAGAGAATCTAAAAAACATTTTAAAATTATATTTGTTCAAATTGCATAATTATTATTTAATCGTTTACTTACTTTGTCAACATGTGCATAGTTGATTGTAAAAAGATTATTTTTATTTTTTTCCAAAACTCTATCCGAGCTCCAACGTTCTCCATTTTTCATAAATACTTTCGTTTTCATAAATCCTGAAAAAAATAAAAATTTTTGATAAACAAGGATTTTTATTTCCTATAAAGTTACTAATTTTCTTTAATATTATTTTTTGGTAAAATTTGTTATGTTATTTGATTATTTTTATTATATTCATACCTGTATTGCTATTTTTATTAATATTCTGAACGGTGTAACCCAATTCTTCAACAGCTTTTAACATAATTTCTGTGAGTTTAGTGGACCAATTTAAATCTTCTATACTGACAATTTCACTTTCCTCTAAAGAAAATTCTGAAAAATAAATAAAATTTAATATAAAAAAGTTAATAAAGAAACAAAATAAATAAAGAAAACAAAATAAATACAATATTATAATATATATAAAAAAAAAATATTAATAAAATTGCTATACTTTATTATTTGGATAATTTATATTTCTTATGCTTTACCAGGGTGTCTACAACACCTGGAAAACCTGGAAAACCGGGAAATGTCAGGGAAATTAAAAATGTCCTGGAAAACCTGGAAATGTCAGGGAATTTTTTCGAAAGTCAGGGAATTTTTTTCATTAAGACTTGAAATACTCTTGAACAATATTTTTAAATCCCACAATTAGTTTTACAAATTTTTAGTAAAAAATTAATAGTAATAATTATTATTGCCTTTCTAATTTGCAATTCTATTCTATTTTGATTTTTGAGAAATAATATGAACCACAGACATACATATAATCAAATAGAAAAAGATTAACCACTTAAAATTCTGAAAAATCAAAAGAAAAGCAGAAATGATGGCATATTGGCATATTTTGTTTCGTAAAATAAGTCAATTTATTTTTAAAATACATAATTCAAGGCTCGAAGTAAATCCGTAAATTCCGTAAAGTTCGTAAAAGTCAGTTTTTTTGATAAAAGGTCCGTAAAGTCCGTAATTTGATTAAAAAAGAACGAAAAGTTTGTAAATTGTACGATATAATTTGGGAAATTTTAGAGAAATTACAAATGATTGCAGAAATTCAATTATTTTAAAAAGTAATAAAATTCTTATCACAAAATTCAATTATGTTCAAAATTTACAAAAAAATCTCGACAAAATCCCAAGTATTATCTTTATAAATAAAAAAAATCTTCAAAATTCAATTATTTTCAAAAATTTTAATAAAATTCTTGGCAAAATTTCAATTATTTTTAAAAATGTTCCTCATTTCAATGTTTTTCAATATCTACTATTTTAATAAAAATTTTCCAAAACAATCTAATTATTTAAAAAAATTTTTATTATTTTTATAAAATAATAAACATTTAACAGGAATTCAATTATTTACAAATTCAATACTATTTTAAATCAATTAATCGAAAAATTAAATTATTTTCAAAAATAAAGTTTTCCAGAAGAATCCAATTATTTAAAATAAAATTTTCATAATATTTCTTTTATTTCGAAAAAATTAATTATTTAAAGCAATTTTTATAAAATTCTTATGAAGAATTCCATTATTTTCAAAAATAATAAAATTTTTCACTAAAATTTAATTCTTTTTAAAAATTTTAATAAAATTTTTCAGGAATTCAAATATTTTCGAAAATTTTAATAAAATTCTTTGCAACTATTCAATTATTTGCATAAATAACAAAATCCATTACCGGATTTAAATTATTTTTAATAAAATTTTATAGAAATTGCTAAAAAATGTAATTATTGTTAAAAATTTAATTTCAATTCCTCGAGAAAATCAATTACTTAAAAAAATGTTTTTTTAAATTCTTTGGAAGAATTCAATTATTTTCGTAAATAACAATATTCATTACAAGAATTCAATTATTTTTAAAAACTTTTCACAATTTAATGATTTTCAATATCTACTATTTTTATAAAATTTCCAAACAAAATTCAATTATTTAAAAATTTTATGTAAAAATCTTCGTAAGAGTTCCATTTTTTTGAGAATAATAAAAATTTCTCAAGAATTTAATTATTTTTGAAATTTTTTTGTAAAATTGTTAACAACTGTTCAATTATTTTCATAAATAATAAAAATCATCAAAGAATTTCAATTATTTTTAATACAATTTTAATCGAATTCTTCGAAAAATGTAATTATTCTTTAAAATTTTATTAAAATTCGTCATCAATTTAAAAATTTGTTGGTAAAATTCTTTATTATGAGAATTAAATTTTAAGAAACATTGAATAAATTATTTATTTTTGTTTTCAAATAATTAAATTCTAATAAAAATTAATTTCAGTTAAAATTTTAGATAATAATTGAATATTAAAAGCCGTATAGCGTGTATTTTTATAATTAATTGAATTTTTTTTAATTGAAGTTTTTATTTTCGAATATATATTTAATTGAAGAATTTACGAATAATTGAGATTTCGTAAAAGTGATTTAAAGATGAATTTTAGTTAAAAATTGTTGAAAATAATAATTGAATTGATAATGATTTTATCACTCGATCATCTTTAATTATTGGAAAACATGAAGAAATCTATCACTCCGAGTCGAAGACTCGGAGTTATGGATATCTTCATGTTTTATAGTTGTGAAAAATTTAATTTATAATTTTAAGTAAAATGTTCTCTTATTTGACTCGGACTGCTGATATTTTTTTTTCGTAATTTTTCATTTTTGGCCCGTAAAGTACATATTTTTAAATACTGTGTCACTGGTTCGAGCCCTGATAATTTTTTTAAAAATGTTCATTTTATATTCATAATTTATAACGTTGGTGACGTTTACAATAATTTAGAAGAAAAAATAATTTTCTATTCAAACTTTTGTCTTAATAAAACTTTTACAACGTTTCTTGAACAAAAAGTTAAAAAAAGGATAATTTGGTAAACGTAAAATATTGTTTTCTGAGTGAAAAACAGTTTTTTTTCTTCAAATCGTTGATGACAAACGTTGTGAATACTTCTCCCACGTCATTTATAAGTGTTATTAAATAAAATTTAAGCAATGTATTTTTTATTATGTCGATTCTTAAAACCTGGAAAAAAATTTTAGAAGGCCTGGAAAACCTGGAAATGTCAGGACAATTTTTTTCAGATTAGTTGTAGACACCCTGTTTACCTTGAAAATCTGGAAACCATTCCTTAAAATCGTCAGGATGTCCTCTAGCGTAAATCATATAGTTCAATCGACTAGTTCCACCGAAAACTTTCCCTCTTGGCCAAATGCTTTGCTGTTCAATATAAATTTTATTATTTTTATACACCACAATTTAATCGAGTTAGCCATACGAAAAAATATTCTCTTTTTGTAAACATACATTATTAATTAAACCTTTACAGGCATGAGCTTGGGACGTTGTAACATATCGCCAATCGTAGATACTTTCTTGAAGAGCAGGTGAAATAATGGGTACATTTATTAGAGAAGGTGATGCTCCTCCTGCTTCGATTAATAAAACTTTATCTCCGTCTTCTGATAATTTAGAAGCGAGAACTGAACCTGCACTGCCTGCTCCAACTTGAAATATTTATTTAAAATTTAGATTAAATTGAAAATAGGTAGAATTCTCATTAATTTAAAATGTATACAATATTTTAACTTATACTAGATTTTAATTAAAAAACTTAAACTTCTAATTTTAATTAAAAAAAATTAAATTTCTAATTTTCACTTACCAACTATATAGTCGTAAGTATCATTTCCTTTAATATCATTTAACCACCAATCTTTGTAAATCTCCCATGAATTATAAATGTTTAAATAGTATACAAATAAGTATACACTTAAATTGTATATTAAAAAAGAACAATATCTTAATAAACTAGACAATTCCATATTTTGTTTATTAAAATTACTGGTTTGTACGTTATTGAACCTAAATATTTGATAACTTTTAGTAAAATATATTAATTTTACTTAATTTTTCCAGTTTTTGTCAAATTGTCCAACATTTAAAAATGCCAGTTTTATAAAAACAAATTTAGTCCAACTATTTTTATTTGAAAATACTAAGAAAATTATTTCAACTGTTGTGTCAACAATGAATTCAATTTTCAACTTTGTTGCTTTTTGTTTCAAATCTAAATGACACTTGTTCTTTAAATTATAAATTAACACATATTTTTCAAAACTTCTTCAATGCTTCTTTAAGTAATAATAAATAGGTACAGAGTTGAATTTTAAAACAATTTTTATTCCTAATTTTACTTGTTTTGTTATAGAATTTGTATACCACGTTGTTTCTCTTTATGATGAAATAAACAAGCGCCACCTGACAAGTAGCAGACGACAGTGGAAGATAAAATTGTTAAAGTTCTATTACTTTTAATATTTTGTTTTTATGATAGATACTGCTATTATTTTTCCAATTTACTATTAATTTACCATTTACTAGTTGCTTTTAAATTAATCGTTTATTTTTATTAAAATTTTTCAATATGTTAACAATACAATTTTCTGTTTTATCGACAGAGTCCAGATTTGAAATTCGAACAAATGGCAGTTATTATTCCAAGATGGAGACAGGAGTACACTTGCTCGACTACTCAATTAAAAGTTGAAATTTATCACACCGATTTGAACAAACACTTGGTGAGTAATTTTGCTATTAAAATTTTGATATTTGTTAAATCTAATCTCTAAATAATATTCCTATTTCGTATTGAATTGATTGTATGTAGTTTTAAGAAATGCAAGTACTTATCACGTGCTTCTAAGCCGCCGGGACCACCGGTTAGTCTACCTGTAAATCTTGCTTATTTTTTTTGGATTTTAATTACGGTTTATTAAATATTGGATTGTATGTAATGAAATTGAAAAATATTTTTTCTCTTGAATTGAGAAATTGTGGATAAAATTTTCTACGAGGCCTCGAAATGACGATGGTGGGTCTTAACGTTTTATGAGAGGTCCGTGGGTGTTTTTAATAAATAAATCTTTTACGCACGATCGACTTCGCAGGAACGTGAGTATATTTTGCTAGGATCAGATATCCCAACTCCCAAGTTTATGAAAATCTAGTTTATATGCTTCTATATAAGTGGTGCATTTTTTTATTCTCTTTTTTATACTTTATTGCAATCGGCAATAAAATTCCGCTGAGCATAATAATAATTTACTTATAGTATTTATTCCCTATAGTAAATAATTGTGTTAGAATTTTAGTGTTTTTTTTTATTTTGTCAGAAATCCTTAGTCGAAAATTCCAGATTCTGCGAATTTGTTTCTTTATAAACTAAAATAAGTTTTTCTTTCTCGCAGTGAAACGTGAAAGTTATTAGTAATATTTAATATTATGAATTTTTCAAATTAGGAACAAATATATTAAATATGTAAAACTTGTATATTTATCGCTAGTAGAATTTAGGGGGGGAAAAAGTATCGTTTCCTTATAATCTCATGAAGAAATGGAATATTTATCAATTTGTTTTTATTTGAGAAGACTGATTGCTTCTTTATTATACTAAATTCGTCTTCTCTGTATTCTCCTCTAATTTTTTGCAACTGAAATTGGTATTTGACTTGAGCGAGGACGAATACCAGTTAATAATCAATTCCATTCGATAAAAACGGGCAAGTCTCTCCTTGTTAGTTTAAGTTGCACAGCACCAAGCATGGAATAGGCGACGCGCTGTCTGCCTTCTCCTGGACTTGCTTGCCTGGTTGCTCGACTCGCTTGTGAGATTGCCTTGATGGCTCTGGCTTCTTCTACATTAATATATTCCCTCCAGGCAACAGCAGATCAGCTCTTGCGAGAGTCAACTTTTATAACGCCGATGAAAACAATTTTTTTTTTCTTTAATATCCAAAATACATTTTCATTTTTTACAAGAACTTTCAATTTTTGCTATTGTTATATTTCTTCGATTCTAATTTACAATTAGAAAGCTGTGAATAAATAATTTTGACAAAATAATTATTTTAATCGATAAAAATTGTTTTGTAAAAAAGTAAACATAAAACTAGTTTAATATAATAAAAAAATGAGAATGTAAAAATTGGGAGATTGAAAATTTTATATTCTTTAAGGAAATTAATTATAAAATTATAAATTCATTAGGTCATTAAATGTCTAATAATTTAAATATTTTTACTTCATGAGAAGAATGCTGTTTAATCGCAAACTCACGTCTCTTTATCTTGCAATCTTTTTTTTTATTATTTTTCTCTCATCTCTCGTCATCTCTTTTATTCCTTTTTCTTTTCCGCTCGTGTTCTTTATTTCGAAACCTATTCTAAAACAGGTCTCTTAAGCACACCGTAATAATGACAATGTTTTTGGTCATATATAGACTTTAATATATGGTCCAGAATATAGAATCTCAATTTTGTCGAATTATGATGAATTCTACTGGTCGATCATCAGAAACGTGTAATTACCATTTCAATTACTATGATTCGCGAGTTTCGCGTTTTAGTTTTTTCATAACTAATATTTTTGAATTTCCAAGAATTTTTGTGATTTGTTAAATGCGCACTCATCAATTCTAACACATTTTTCTGACCAGATATCTGGAATGTTGAAGCGACTGGTAATACTATATGTATATAACTGCTTCGAGTCGAAAGAATGCAACAGGTTTTCAAGAACAAAAGAGTAGAAAACGATTGACATTCGGTGAATGGTCCTTGTAAACTACAGCTACTGATGACAAGTTTAAGTCTATAATGTTTGTTTATTAAGAAGGAAATACAAATATGTGTATCTAGTTTCTTGGTGTATTTTTGGAAACTTTTATTTCATTTTTGAACGATTTTTGAAAAAAAAAATTGAAAAGTTTATTTGTTTTTAGTTTCTTTATTAATGTTTGGAGTCGATCAATAAAGTGCGTTGATTTTGATTGCAGGTACCTGGGAATAAAGAATACGAAGTGGAACCATTTATTGGAAATGATATTTGCCGAAAGATACCAAGAGGAACTCCATTGTAGGAGCATCAGTGAGGTCGTTAATCACATATATCGGAATCATTTACTATAAAAGCAGCTTGACGTCTTGGTTACCGATTCTAAATTGAATATGACGTACTTCCATGAATATCCACCGACAAACGATTGCTAGATTGTGAAGGTGCTTCTCAATACGACTGTGGAAGTCTTCACACATACCAATAGACCTGTTTACTTACTGGCTGTAGCGCACAGCTGGCTGACGAGCTAGCGAACAGGTGGGTTTCTGGCTTTTCTCACCAGATGCTAACATACCACGGAATGCATGCATGCAGGTGCACTGCGTAGTTACTGGAAGTGGCTCTTTTTAAGTACCAATACAACAAATATAATTTGCAATTGATGCTAATGCTTGCCTTGTCCTACAGCGTAGTAAATCATTGCGGATCGAATTGAAAACAATTATTATATATATATGTTTATGCGCAACTTTTCTTATGACTTTGCATTCTCATATAGTTTCATATATATACTAATTTCGCTCTCCCTTGTAATTATTTACTTTTTTATCAATAACTCTTTCCCTCGCTGTTTACAAATCTTTCAATTAAAATTAAAATCAATAATCTCTCATCTCTATATTATTCTCTAAAGTATTAGCGATAATGGCAAGTTCAGAAGGATTTATTACATATTCGCAGGCTTCGTACTCATTCACTAAAAATAAATTTACTATTTTTTTTACGATTTGCTGCAATTTAAATACTTTTTTTTAGATTTGTGACACTAAAAGCTAATACATTTTTCAATATTTGAAAATTTACACTATACTTTAAATTCACTAATAGTTGAAATAAAAAATTATTCTAAAAAAATTTTATAAAATTCTTAGCAACAATTCATTAAATTGTAAATAAAATTCTTAGAAAAAATTCATAAAATTTTAAGAAAATTATTTTAAACCATTGAATTATTTTTAAAAATATTTCGAAACTCAATTTTCATTATCTACTATTTGAATAAAAATTTTCCAAAAGAATTCAATTAATTAAAAAATATTAAAACTCATCTCGCAGGAATCCAATTATTTTTAATACAATTTTAAATGAATTTTACGAAAAATGCAATTATTCTTACAAATTTTATTAAAATTCTTCGCAAGAATTCAATTATTTAAAAAAAAATTAATTATGTTATTCGCAAGAATACATAATTATTTTTACAAATAATTAAATTCGTTGCAAAAATTCAATTATTTTCATAAAACTTATCGTAATAGGAGTTCAATTTTTTTAAATAACATTTTTAATGAATTTCACGAAAAATGTAATTATATATTCTTAAAAATTTGACTAAAATTCTTCAAAAGAATTCAAATAATTAAACAAATTGTAATATGTATAGTTTATTTATTAGAATTTAATTAAATTCTTCGTGACAATTCATTTATTTTCAAATAGTTGTATATATAGTAAAATTTGTCGCAAGAATTCAATTATTTTCATGAGTTATACAATTCTTTAGAAAAATTAAATTATTTTAGATACAATTTATTTAAAATTTCTTGATGGAATTTAACTATTTTTTTAAAAAGTTTAACAAAATAGTTGACAGAATTGACTTATTTTTAAAAATTGTCATAAACTCTTTTAGAAAGAATTTAATTATTTTTAGTACAATTTTAATTAAATTCCTCGTATGTTAAATTATTTTCTTCGAAAAAATTGAATTTGCATTTTTTACAAATTTTTTTTTTATTAGTTTTATTTTTACCTACTATTAATTTAATTTAATTTCAATTATTCTTAATATAATTTAAAATAAATTCTTCAAAAAATGTTTTATTCTTGAAAATTTTATAAAAATTCTTCCAAACATTTTAATTATTTAAAAAAAAATGTTCATAAAGTTCTTTATAAGAATTTAATTTTAAGAAATATTCAATTATTTAATAAATTATTTATTTTTGTATTTAAATTATTGAAATCTCGTTGAACTTTCTAATAAAAATTGATTTAAAATGGAATTTCAGTTAAAATTGTAGATTATATTAAATATTAAATATATTAAAATTTTGAATAATTTTATGTATATATATTTAAAAATTTCAACAAAAACATGATTAAATTTTGGAAGAATTAACGCAGTTGTAATTTTTAGAAACATAGTTAAATTTCAAAAGGGCTTTACATTAAAATCATTTAAAATTTATATTAATTCCAGTGAAAAACTAAATAGGTATACATATTAAAATATTTATTTTAAACAAATTATTCTATTTTTGAATTTTGAAAAGCTTTTTAGAATTTTGATAAAGTTCTTTATATAAGAATTCAATTTTAAGAAATATTCAATATTATTCAATAAATGAATTGAATTTTCCCAGAATTTTTCACGAAAATAAATAAATTATTTTTGTATTTAAATAATTGAATTCTCGTAGAACTTTTTAATAAAAATTGATTTAAAATTTAATTTCAGTTAAAATTTAATTTAGAATTTTAAATTGAGTTCAAATCTTTATTATCTCTTAAACATATAGAACTTTTCATTAAGAAGTTGTGTCAAAAGTTGCAAGAATCAATACGAGTGCTATAAATATTAGATGATTTTTGTCAGAATAATTTTCTTCTAAATTTAAAGTAGTCTCATTTCCAGTTATACTACCAGCAGCATTTGTGGTAAACTTCATGCATGTATATATATTATATATAACTTAATTATCAAATACTTCTTTACTAGCAAAATCCTACGCGCGCGATGCGCGCGTGAATGATTTAAAGAATTATCACGGTAGCAATTTACCTGCCTGTCTTACCACAGAAAAAGTACATACGGGAAAATGTTCATGATTAATAAAATGAAGAATATATATTTCAGAACTATGGATACAGAAAAATTTTTGAAAATCCTACAAAACCGTAGGTTGAAAATGTACGGAAAAAATTTTTCAGGGAAAGTTCTCGAACTGTACCTGAACACCTGAACAGTGAGAAAAGAACATGAGAAAAAGTTGAGGTCTAATCCTGCATTACACTAAAGAAATTCTTGAACTTTTCAGGAATCTACTGTGTAGAGCAGGAGAAATTCTCGAAGTTCACGGCAGATTTTTGAAAAATTCAGGGACATCTTTAGTGTAATGCAGAATTAGACCTTAACTTTTTCTCATATCCACCGTTCAGGTACAGTTCGGGAACTTTGACTGAAAAAATGTTTTCCGTGTGCTAAGAGTTTTCGATAAAAATTATAATGAATTTAATGGAAACTTTCTGAACTTTAGATAGAATAATTGTTGAACTACTCAACAATCGCAAAATTTTAAATTGTCTCTCAGTTTTCTCTTTTTTACTAATTAATATTGGTAGGTATATATTGTAATTTTTTGTAACTTCTCTAAAAAATTTTCCGTATTCACCATTTCAGAATAAATTCTCGATTTTTGTGAGACAACATTTTTCTATGTTCCTTTTACAAATTGAAACATATCGATTATAATATCGATATATTTAAAACTCTTTTAAAGAATTTTATTTAAATTTTTTGAAAATTATCAGGGGAAGTTAGTCACCATAATTATAATTTTATTTTTTTTAATTTCTTCACAATATATTCAATTATTTTCATAAATAGTAAAACTCATTGCAGAATTTCAATTAGTTTTAAGACAATTTTAATCAAATTCCTGGAAAAATGTAATTATTCTTAAAAATTTTATTAAAATTCGTCGAAAAAATTCAATTATTTCTAGAAACAGTTAAAAATGTTTCTCAAGAATTTAATTATTTCTATAAGTTGCAAAATTCTTTAGATTTACTAAATTCTATTAAATACAATTTTTAAAAAGAATCCTTTACTAGAATTCAGCTATTTTCATAAATTTCTATAAAATTCTAAAAAAACAACTCAATTATTTTCAAATGTAATAAAATTCTTCGCAGAAATTCAATTATATTTAAAAATTTGTTTAAATTCTTATCAAAATTTTAATTATTTTTATAAATAATTAAATTGTTCTGTAAAATTCATTTTTTCAAAAATTTTAATATAAAATTCTACGCAAACATTCAATTATTTTCATAAATAATAACATTCTTTGGAAGTATTCAATTACTTTCATAAATAGTAAAATTCTTTGCAGAAATTCAATTATTATCAATAACATTTTAATAAAATTAAATAATCAAATTTTCAATTAAAATTATTAAAAAAACATTATTTTCAAAAATTTTTAAGAAACTCGCCAAAAGAATTATTTATCATTCATAAAAACTCTAATAACAATTTTTGAAGCCATTTGTAGATTTATTTATATTTGAAATCAAATAAATTTAAATTTGATGAGGAAAAAAACCGGAAATAATTAGGACAAAGTCGTGAAAAAACCGGGAATTTTGTTAAATATAGCGCACAAAAAAATTATTATTAAAAATTTTTAATTCCTTAAATTGTCAATATTTAGGGACGTATGACTCTCCCCAAATTTAACTGTATAAATAATTGTTATTTCATGGAATTTTAAACTTTATAATTATTATTTACTCAAAAGGTAGATATCTAAAATTTAATGCTAACATTATTGCTTAGTTTTTATTTTATGTCACTGAATACGTAATTCGTAGAATATTCTATGAATTATTGAAAATCTATTGTTGATTATATGCAATAGAGATTATAAAAAATTAAATCTTCCATTAAATTAAAATTATGTAAAATATTATTTCGCGTATTTAAATTATTTATGTTATTTGAAAAATATCCTATAAAACCATCATTATTTCAAATAAATAAAAATAATTCATAAAAATTATGAGAAATAAATATTATATTTTTAACGATTGTATTTAAAAATTAAAATATTAAGAATTGTAATAATGTTGTCATTAAATTATAGCCACTCACCTTAAGAGTAATTGGTGTTTATAAATTTTAAAATTCTATTAAATAATAATTATAATTGTATAAGGTGGATTCCACGTCAGTTCAACACACTTATTTTCATGACTTGTTGGGATTTGGCTGTACTTTTGTAAATTTATTACTTTTATAGTGATAAACAACTCCACCAAATATTTTTTCAAAATTTTGAAAATTACAAAAAATATGGCATTTTCAAAATTTTTGTCTTTTTTTTGGAAAGTGCTATAACTTTGGTTCTAATTAACCGATTTTGGATTTAAAAAAAACAATTTCTTTGGTTTTAAGTATATTTTAAGTTAAAATTAACATAAAAAAAAAATTTTTTTTTTTAATTTTGAAAAATTAAAAATCCGTTTTTGAA